TATTCAGAGCATTTCAGGGTTATACGTTAAACATCACGTTGCGACCAACGGGAGCTAAGAATTGGGGATAAAATGGTAAAATATACATCTTAGACGGTTTCCGTTGCGTATAAAATACCCAAAAATATGTATGACAGAATGATTCCTTTTTAAATAAATTAACAAAATGTGCGCTACAATATATGTCTATCTTTTAAGATCGACTTGCAAACACGACGGGCCTAGGCCGATGTCGTGGGTAAGAGCTATAATTTATAAAGATGAGAAGGAGGTTTACAAAAATAAATTCTAATGCCCAAAATAACTATTCTACGCGGACGAAGTCGCTGGCACAGCTATATTCATATTTCTTGTTTATCACCATGTATTTGACTACTAAGGCACAAAAAAGCAACATCTAAGCGGCTTAAATTAATATATTGAACACTTACGTCGTTTGGTTTTTGGTTTTTGCAAAGAGAGATTTTTTTTAATTTCCGTTCTTATCTTGCAACGGTGAGTTGCCGTTAGCCTTTCGTGAATTGTTCTCGTATTAACAATGGATATCACTTTTTATCTAGATGGCCTAAGCTGAGCTATAGGTCAACGAAACAACGTGGGGTAAGCGGATATTTTAAAGTCCTTTTCGTCGATCTATTTTATTCGACGTATAAGTTCTTATGATCTTAAGTGACGTGATATTTAAAGAAACGTTCTAATAACTCTACTACTCTTCTATTTCAAATGTCAAGCGTGAGGCATCACTCAAAATCGTCTGGTTTCGGGGACAACAAAACCGAGTGGTGCTTTTACATACGTCTAAATTATTGTTTTTTTAACTTTGCATTTTTTTGTTTATTTGTGTGTGAAATCAATTGTGATTTCCATCCAAATCTTAAATCAAACGATATCACATGTTTATAGGTAAGAGTATTACAACCCACCGATCGTGTTTTTAATCTATGTAGGACAGAATCGATAAACGATAAATAATTGTTAAATAATAATTGACCGACAAGAAAACCCTGAATATCGTCTGGTTGGACCAGTTTTTGCGAACCGGATATGTACTAATTGCCTATTACATATTATACCATGTTAAAACTTTATTATATTTTCTTATTCCTATAAGAAATAATGAATTCTGCAATTCTTATTATAATGACGATCTTTATAATAATTTTCAAGTAATTGAAATTTTAATTAAATTAAAAAAAGGTATGAAACATAATATTACGAGTATATTGATAACACAGATATTTAATTTATATATAAAACTATAAGAAGCATGTGTCATAACTATTTTTTGTATTGTTTATTGAGATAATTCTACACCCATTCTCGCAAAAGCTCTAGCCCCTACCCTCACTGGACGTCTATTGAGAAACTAATAAAGATATCGGCTTAAATATGATACGTTCACAATAAAATATTAATTTGCAATTTAAAAAATGTTTTAGAACGAACTACGTCACGACATCTTAAAATGATTAAACAGCGAACTTTAGACCGTGAACTCGCCAAGTGAGCTTCAAATCCAGCAGCGCTGCAGAATTACATAAAACGGTTCTTGAAACGAGTATTATACAAAAGACTATTCAGAAATCCGCGGAATTTTTTAAATAAAAACAGAGGAAAAATTAAACCTGCTCTAGTGCATATAACATCGAAAATAACCTTTAAAATTTCAAAACGGGTCGTAATCTTAAACACTATTATGGACATAAAGATACATTGGGTTAATAGGAAGGAAAAAAACCCAGCCACATAATATCGATACAAGATTCAATATCGACATTTTTGGCTTTGGACAGAAAACGACCAAAAATATTTTTGGGGGCTTCTGGCTCATCTGTGGTTTGTAACCAGACTGTATTTTAATCTTGCAACCCTATTAATATCCCTTTTTTCAGACGAAGTTTAAAATTTTTCCAAAAGATTGTTACTCAATAATAGAATAAAATTTTCTGTTGAAAAAAAAAACCAGTTGAAAATCGAACACTTATTGATTATTAACCACAGATTGATGATGATGACTTTGATTGTCTGTTTGAGGTAGAGCGTAAAAATAATGTTCAGTGTTCCGGAAAGGCTGGTTAAATTACATATCTTTTAAGTTACGGCTAAACCATTGACCACTATATTTATAATCAACCGGCTTATCATAAGTGAGTAAGCGAGTGACAGGTATAGTTAGCAGTTATATAACAGACTGTTAAACAATCAATAATTTACGATAATCGATGTTGTCACATACAAACAGGAAGGTCCAGTCCATGTATCACCTGTCTTATAAGAAAAACGCAATACTAAAATTGATTTTCCGAAATATAACAAACCTATCATACGTAAATATATCGCAACACGCGCTCACAATTATGTAAGACTGCAGATCGGATGCGGTGACGTCCAATGGACCACAGCTTCCGTTATGCTAAGCTATTACCTTGATTTATTCTATGAAAGCAGGTTTACCAATATAGATAAAAATAATATTACATTCGTTTTACTAGATACGGGTAGTTATGGATTTATGACTTAGTTGTTTATATATTGACTAGCTGTGTCAGCGACTTCGTCCGCTAAATAATTTTTCTGGTTTCTGTTACGTATATCAATACAACTTGAATAATTCAAAGAAAATAATTGAGGCTAAATTGAGAAGGTATGTTTGTCTTAGACTCGATGTGTGTGTTTAAACGTCTATTTGTTTTGTATATGTGATAATCTGTATCTTTAAGATATACTTTATATTAACTTCAGAAATATCAGATAGATACTCGAGGTTTCCTCTACCTATGTATTTATAAATAATTATTTTAAGTAACAAGAGATATAATAAGGGGAAAGGAATGTTTAAAAAACCCAAAATCTACATTAAAAACCTTTTTAAACTATTAAAAAATGATATGTTGTATGTGTATCAATCGCGCTTTTAAAAAGAAGAATAAAATGTATAAACACTTGAAACAGTATTAATAAGCTCTTTAAAAATTAAAGAATTATGCAAGATTAAACACTGACGTAATCAGACTACTTCCATCGACGTGATTTCGCCTGCTCAAGTGATACATTGAATTTTTAATAATAAATTGAATGGTTCCCAATGCAATTTCAAATTAAGTTCTCAGTACATAGTCTTGTGTATTAGCTTCGGTGGTTATATTATGCAACATTGAGCATTGAATTTGGAGAAGTATGCAAATTTATTAAGGCATTCTTCGTTTCAACCTTGCCCTTTACAATACATAATCACTTACTGAAACAGTAGTGTCTGTTCTTAGGAGAAATGAGATACCGCAATAAACTTATAAATACATCATTCGTTCAGGTCATTATCATCAAGTTTGCTTTATAACTTTATCTTAGCTTAATTATCTCAGAAGAATGTGCCATTATTTAATATTGAAAGAACAAGGATAGTTTGATTTTCAGTACTATTAAAACCGATCTAACTGAATGAAACAGATCTAAACAGTGCAGTAGATTTTAAGTGAAAGAGATCCATCCATCTGCAATTATCTAGTTACATAAGACACCATTTATCGTGATTTATTTTAAATTCACTTCTTATAAAAACAATTAACCACTTAGTCACACCTACCAACAATAAAAAAGATTTTTAATTGTGTTCTATGACATTGGACAAAGCGTTTTATATATGAAAAATAAAATAACAATAGCAATTAATATGTACAATAATACATAAAAACTTTTATGATTTATTACTAATGATTTATATTTAGTTCTATTGTAATTTATCATTTACTTAAGCGTTTAGTTCCTTCCTTGAGTGTATATTTTTAGCTTACAAAATGACCTATTTGTCTTCACTCTATATGAATTTTGAGATAATTTTATAATGGTTATGTAATAGAGTACATAGACAAAATAAATGTGATCATATTATTAACAAATGTTAAATACATAATATATATATATAAATACAAATATACCAAGTTTTATTATGATTTAAACATAGAAATACTAACAGCCAAAAAGACAGGAAAAATAGTGCTTATAATTATTATAATGACGCCATAAAAAATGGTGGGCAATTTTATAACTTTCTATTATCAGCTTGTTTTAGGGTGACTTCATAGCAGTTGTAAATATATGAATTGATGCTAAATTTAGGTATATACATTGTGTTTATTTTTAATTCTGCCCCAACAACATAGTATGTTGAATGTGATTATAATTTTACAGTATGTTTAAAATATTGATTAAATTAAGAGAATTATTAAAATAATAAATTTAATTGTATGATATATATTAAATTTATTACCCTATATTATACTCTATCAATTAAATTATAGCTTGTATTTTGAAAGGACCTTACAATATATGTTTCTGAGGTACTTATATGCTCCTTAAGAATACTTACTGTTTTATGTTTAGCTATGTTACAATTAACTTATAAATTATTTGGAGAAAATTGTTCGAAGTTGTCTCTATAAGCAAACATCCTTGATGTTATACTTTCCTAAATTCAGCAAGACACTAGTTCTGTACACAAATAACAAATTGTCACTATAAATATTTGTGGTGAAAATATTGTCAAATTATTTTATCAAACCTAACTTCTTTTAAAAGGAATTTTAGTAAATATTTAGGACTTGGTACACGGGTTTTTTTTTTAAACTAATTATGTTTCACAGAGAAATGAGCAAACTGTTAATAAAATCATTATGTTATAATGAATAGTTTAATAAAAAATAATTATTATTGTGACTAAAAAGAGATAAATAAGATTATAGAGGCTTTAACTGACAATTATTAAAGACAATAGCTAGTTATTTTAAACTATAATTTTCCTTACATTTATCAATATTTAACGTTTTATTTATCATCACACTATCATGCTTTCTATGAAGCATATTAGTCATAACTCGTACCATATCACATCTTTCGATTTGACGTGCATTTACATAACCAAGATATCACGTTTTAATCACGAGTGCACATCTTGAGATGGCATAAAACTATTAAGATGAAAATCAAAGAAATGTTTTACATACCTCGGGCGATTCTGCATATAATATTGGCCGCCGAATATAAAGGCCATGTATATCCCAACATAGTAAAACGCATTGGTCCAATTTTCTATCATCCATTTTCGGTAACCGTGATGAATGAAATCATTTTCGAAGTCGAAAATGTATGAGTAATTCGGCGAAAGATCTAGGTTATAAGTCATTGATGATTTGTACTCCATGTTCATTGAATTTTCTGCACACGCTGGAGGATTTTAGCGTCCGTGAGGACTTTACCGGCGACGTTTCAGTTTATCGGTTTACACTCAATTAATACATATAACCAGACGGGGCGTACCGCCTCCGCGACATTGATTCTAGTTGTGAGCGCGGTATGGAGAAACGATGACTATATATTCGCGGTGACGCGTCAAGCTGACGATGTCCGTCGCCTGTTTGAAATCGTCGCTAGGCCGGCTCGCTGATGGCGATAGCTAAAGATTACAATGAATCAAGTTTAGCGTAATCAGAAAATTCGTGAATTCACACGCCTTTCAGACGCGGCAACTGCCCGCGACCAAAATTGAAAATGGTAAAAGTGACAGCTCGCTTTTTAATTCAAGGTTCGCAAATGACAGCAGGCTTGATAGTCGACAGGTATACGCACGGTATAGGGGTATACCACAAACAAAATTACAGACTATACTACAATCTTTAACATGATTGTTAGTAGTTATACTGTTAGAAAAACAGTTAAAAAGCAAAAGAAAAACAAAAAACAACATCCGCATTAGATTGTTTATTTTAATTTTATATATACCTAAGTATAATAATAATAGTAATAATTATATTAAGTCGCGAAACAGCTAACGGTTAAACTTTTTTTTTATTTGTCTCGCGTAATAAATTAAATATAAGTAATTTTAAATTACACACACATACAATTGAAAGAAATTATATCCCATAAGGACTACTAAATAAATAATATAAAGGGTATTAAAATATAACCCAGTGTTACCTCTAAGTATTAAATAATTGGCTATTAATCTTAAGCAGATTAAAAATTATTTTTTTTGAAAACATAATAAAATTATTATAACGTCTTGTAAGTTCTTGAAAAATAGGAAGCAGCGGTTTTGTCGGTGTGTTTATGTTAACATGATTAAACTCAGTCATATTCGCAAATGAATACATATAAAATGCTGGTTTGGACTCGATAATTTTAACACGATGAAATTCGTTAGACTTTAATTTTATCTTTTCTCCTTCTGATAGTATTTGAGACCGGCCCGACTGTTTTGAATCCATATTTTCGTAGAGTACCTTTCCTTTTAAGACTGTTAATGAAACGTTGGTCAATTCCTCGGTGATAAATTTTTCATATTCGTAACCTGAAAGGATGCGAAATCTTTCATGTAATCATAGCAGTATTTATATATATTATTAATAATTTTAAAGCAAATTAACATAAGATCCAGTAGTCACTAAATTTGTAACTACTTTTTAATAAAACACTTAAACTGTTTAAAACGTGATATATATTCGTTTAAGTTATTTAAAAAATATTTTAACTATTTAAGTGGCACCGTGACCACGGCTGCTGCAAAGAATCCAAAACGTCGTTAGTTAAATTAGTTTACAAATAAGCTTAACTAATATATATCGCATTTTAAACGGTTAAAGTGTTTTATTTAAATGTGTACTATTTGTACAACAACTGCAATGGTTGCTGTTTAAATAAAGAACCTATTTAGTTGTAAAACTTATTGAACAGACAGGCGGGATTTGAACAGGCATGCACAGCGTATTGTAATGCTGCTTCACCAATTGAGTTACTGTATCCTTCACGTCATCGTTCTTCATGCTATTCTTACCATTAAACCCTAGAAAACACACCTGGAAAATCAGCTATAAATATGACATCACTGTAATTGTTCCATGAATGCACGTCCGCTCTTATAGCCTGTAAGTCACTTCGCCAATTCAAACCTTCCTCCAGCAACGGCATGAGATATTGTACTTCTCGAAACGGGGACCAAGTCGCATTCAAGATATCAATTCTACTATCAAACATCCGCTGCGTATACCTTCCATTCAGCGAACACCAGACTTCGATAAAAATGGAAAGCTCAGTTCTCAAATTCCTGGAACGCAAGTGATCTCTCAAACAATGGGCGTATTGGTGGATCATGTCGCCGTGGCGTGTCCACCTGTCGTTCGGTGTAAGCGAGTATGGATCTACGAAATATTCTTGGTTGGAATCTGTGACTTTTATGACAACGCTGTTTATGTCCCATGTGTGTACCATCATGTCCCAGGAATAACCATAGAGGCCGTCTGTCCAGTTATTGTAGCCCTGGTAAGCATAAAGTGTATTCAGAACTAAATAAATCACTTTCAATGGATTAAAACACGATATGTATTAATTAATTTATATTCAATTTAAGTACGACCCGACTTATCGGATGCCTTGCAAGAGCCGGGGTCACGGGAGGACCATGTGACCAAAAATACGTTTACTGATCTATTTCGCGTTGTAACTTTAACTAACTACTCGCGTAAACTACGGACAATGCTTATCCAGAACTTTAAAATTACTAATTAAAGTTATAATCTAGTTTTTACATTGGGTTAAGGAAATTACCTAGGAAAAACATAATGAAATGGATAAACAAATGTACCTGCCCTAGTCCCTACTTAAGAAAACATGATTTTAATAATTATACTTGAAAATCTCTGAAATTCCTTTAAAATAACACCTAATGAAAAGATTGTTCCTCTAGCAAGGATTGCCTGAATGAAATAGGCTCTCTCGTTACTACTTCGAAGAATGTACCTACTTACCTTGGTAATAAAATGCGAAAAAGGTAAAAAGGCCTGAAAAATAACGTAAAGAAAAATCAATGCCGCGGTTTTCTTGAGCTTAACATCACTGGGCTTATCTTTGTTCTGGCTTTCTATAGATTTTTTTATAGCATCTAGGCTATTTTTGCCAATTTTCTCCATACTGACACCACCTTTAGAGTTATCTTCTGTCACTTTATTGTTTCTTTTAATTAGCCAACCGAGTTTCTCCAACTGACATCGTTGTTTAAAAAACCAATTTGAGAATTCCTGGCAAATCTTTTTGGGCCAGTCGAATGGATAGAAGAGTGGCATTGTTGCTAGGCATACCCACGGGAACATACCTGTAATATATTTAATATTTATCGATCTATTATGGCAATGTGTCTTCAATTTTTTTTAGATTAAGAAAAATTTAAGACAGAGTACTATATCCCGCAAACGAGTATAAACACTGAAAGCTTGATAACTTCGATGTTTTTTTTAACAGGCGTGTGTAATTTAGGCCTCAATAAAACCGATGCCATAAGCCATTTATTGGTCCAAACCATGAAAATAACCGTGCGATGCTTTCGAGCCACACAGATAGAAAGACACGTTTATATTTCGTTATTTTAGTACATATAGATCGATGGTATTGCTATCTTGTATTGTGTAACTGTCTAGTAAGACATAGTATGTATTATGTAGTGGCTTGATATACCTAAACATGTTAAACACTTGTTAACTAGGTCCCGTTGTTTTGTATGTCGTGCAGCAGTCTTGGTCACTGGGGAACCAAAGATGGTGTCCCCAAATGTTATAGTCAAAACTGGTGATGATGGTGACAGCGTAGTAGTTTTGAGTCAGTTTTCAATACCCCGTGACCACAGCTCTTGCAAAGCATCAGAAACAACGGGACCTAGTTAAAAAAAAAATGTAAACAAGGTAACTAATATATATCGAATTTTAAACTTATAAAAGTGTTTTATTTATATAGAGCAACATACCAATTCTAAAAAGACGACTATTCATAAGATGAAAGAGAGCGCAAAAGATCATGGCCATATTTCTGGTTTTCGACCACATCATCCAGAATGCGATTGTGAGATCAAAAAGGAAGATAAACCAGTGTACGATTAGGTAGTCTATTTGTGGCACTGTTAGGAATAATCTGAAAAATTCTTAATTGTAGAAAAATGTTTTTTTTTTTAGTTTAATAAGAACATGACCGCCTCTGTAGCCAAATGGTTAAACGTATTGCCTAGCATTGCGTTGTGCGCGCGAGGTCCTGAGTTCGTATCCCAGGGAAACAAACAATTTTTGGAAACCAATTGGGAATCAAAAAAATTGTTTCGGTCAGGCAGGGCACAGAAGTCGGATCAACTACTTGCCTGTTCAAGAATGGACTAGTGAAACGGACACAGAAATGTGTTCGCCCCATGTCCCACAGGGGGGAAACGCGATTTCACACAACATGTAGAATATATCAACAACATCATAAAAAAAATCTATTTGAACCTTTTCAGCTTAATATTACTATAGATTCTATCTACAGCGCCGCTATGTGATTTAACTCACCTGAACGGACTAAAAACCCAGTGCTCACTCAAATTCTGTACTGAGTATCCAGTTAACCACTCAGCCGTACCTTTTTTTACACCAGCCATGAAGTACGGGATAAAAAACTGATTTTTTAAAAAAAAAATTTCCGTGTGGGGCAAAATTTTTTTTTTTTTGGGGTTTTTATAAAAGGGTTTGGGGGGCACTTTATTTTAACAATAAAAATAAAAAAAATATTAAAAAAAATTTTTTATAATAATTTTTTTTTTTTTATTTTTTTTTTTTTTAAAAAAAAAAAAAAAAACAAAAATATTTTTTTTTTTTTATTTTTTTTTTTTTTTTCTCCCCCCCCCCCCCCCCCCCCCATAATAAAATAAATTTTTTTTTTTGGGAAGATAAAATTTTTTTTTTTTATTATAAAAAAAAAAAAAAGAGCACCACCCCCCCCCCCAAAAAATTTTTTTATAAAAAAAAAACAACCAACATTTTTTTTTTTTTTTTTTACCTGAAAATAAAACACATATTAAATACTTACCTATATTTGAAGCCTACATGATTGAGAGAGGCGCTGTTTTGTTTCCGCTTAGTATATTGACTCTCGAATATTTGCCTTCCGTTTCCGCTCACCAGGTGTCGTGTGCTTCCGGTTGTGTCAACCGAATACCTAGTCTACTTTTTCGATGCACACGCTTTTGCTCTCCATTGCGTCGAAATCATCACCAGGTAGAATTTAAATTGTAGGCTTCAAATATAGGTAAGTATTTAATATGTGTTTTATTTTCAGGTAAAACACTGTTATTAAACACTTGACCGTAATTTGAAGCCTACATGATTGAGACGTGTTTGATATCACCTGGTGACTAGGGACGCCAATGTGAACGATTAGTTACAATTTTATCATAGTTAAGAACACCAAGAACAATTAATGAAAAGAGGCAAAAATACTAGACGACTTATTTATTTGCCTTCTTTAAAAACATAACACTATGTTGTAATCAACTTGTATTATTACTACATAGTTTACAAATTGGTATTTGTAAGGGTGGAAATAACTTAGAAATATAACCAGCTATTACCATCTATTTATCCAATCGGAGTAAACATACTTTGAATATTGTGAGATTTTTATCTAGTGGCACCACTTCTTTGCAATAAAAACGAGCAAATGTGTTCAGAGATCTCCAATTCTCTTTAGACAGAATTTCATCCAGAGGACAGTTTTTAGACGAACTTTTAGACGCCACTGCAGAACGTAGGCTGCCCGGTGAAGCCTTTATTCCTGCATCAACAAGTAGGGTCTTTATCCAGCCCGCGATAAATGTACGGGAAGCAGCTTTTGGCTTTCTCCTTATGTTTAAAAATAAGTTTATTAAGTTTCTTTCTTCTCGTTTCTTCCTTAATAACGTGGTACAATGACCTACCCAGAAGACTGGATCTAAGTTTTTATGAGAATAATTTGCTAACAAGTTCCAGCCGGACTGTCTATAAGTAGCCGTGTCGGTCTTTGGACCAAAGATGGGCTATAATATAACATGGCCATTACCTTGGTGCATACGTTTTGAATCAGCTGCCAAAAGAGTCAAATCATGAATCCTTCTGCCAGAGTAGAGAATTAGTAATAGAGCTGTATGTCTGCACGATTGAAAAACATTAGCCTCATCTATAGTATAAGATTTAAGAAAAGAAATTATATCAATGTCCCAAATCTGTGGCCTTCTAGTAATCGGTTTCTTTAAAGCGATCGATTTCAATATATATGATTTACTAATACATGATTAAATACTGTCTATAGTTTACGCGAGTAGTACACATTTAAATAAAACACTTTAACGGTTTAAAACGCGATGGTCACGGCTGCTGCAAAGCATCCGAAACGTCGGGCCGAAGTTAAAAATCATTTTCAAATAAGTTTAACTAATATATCGCGTTTTAAACCGTTAAAGTGTTTTATTTTAATACATGATTGCTTAACTTTCCAGAATCGTCGGAATTACATAAGGTCGCGACAACGGATTTATGTAAAACAATTGTGTTGTAAGCCAGACCTTCCACAACATGTGGATCTGCCAGAAATCGAGCTAAAACTTCTCCAGTAGGATGTAAGGGGTTAAGACCTCGGGGTTTATTCCAATTATTCCATGCGCATTCGTAGGTCTTACTGGTGGAATCACGCCAAGAGGTCTTTAAAAGGTTTATCTGTTCTGTATTCTAGTTAATCAAATCTTTTGTCCACCCCCACATTTCCATACTTCCATTGTCATTGTCATGTCACCTGGGGTGAGGCTAATCCTGTTACCGCATCGATGGGGCATAAGTGTAACTTTTTTTATTGTATGAGGAGGTGCTACAGCTCGGGCCTTCAAATTCGGCCTCCAAAATACTTTCTCCCATTTTGGTACTATCAAGAGATACATTCCGACTGCCGAGTTCAGGTGTGACCTTCGGAATCAGAAATGGGGGTGGAAATACCCTCGCTAGGGAGAAATGCCAATTTCGGGAGAAAGTATCGTGATACAGAGCTTGAGGGTCTTTCAGGTCTAGTGACACATAATTTGCTACCACCTTTGCACACATCGAGGAAAACAAGCTTATCACCGGAACACCGAACTTCACGAAGTTTTTTTTTTTTTGTTCGTACACTGAGGCACAAGGTGCCATTCTGGCGGAGTCCGGTGACGCGATAGGTGATCTGCGTGACTTTTGTACTTTCCTGGTATACGATGTATTCTCAGATAAATTTTGTGAGAATAGAGAATTTGATAAATTTGCTTTGTGAACTTCAAAAGAGTAGGGGATCTTGTACCACCTTCGTTCCTCAGGAAGGCTACAACAGTCTTGTTGTCGCACTGGACTAGTAGCGTTGAGTTGGCTATCCTTGCGACTAGGAACTGTGAGGTATTTTTTTCTTCTGAATTTTTCTTGTTTGTCTATGCTGGAGCATATTTTTGTTCCTTACAAAGGAACTTTTTTGGACACAGTGAACAATCGTCGATTTGAGCACCCCATGCTATATCTGATGCATCGGTTGTCATGGAGTGTGACGGGAGCGGGTAATGTATTAAGAAGGTTTTCGAAGATTTGCAAGCCACCAAACAAGATCCTCTTTTACCTTTTGAGGAATGACAGTTTCGTGTACAAGCGATTCCTTTAGTTGCCTGTTTAGGAATACAAGAGCATTTCGGAAGTGTAATCTGCCTTGTGTTACAGCAAAGCTGACGAAATTTAACAGTCCTATTAGGCTTTGAAGAACACTTATTGAAGTCATGCCCGAGTTTATCAAGGTTATAAGTAGTTTCTGAAGCCGTATTGATTTGCTCTCTGGAATCGACTTTTTGTTGAGCCATGGGTTCCAGTGTATGCCTAAAACCACGAGCGATTTCGTTGGAACAGTTATCGACTTTTCCATGTTGATTCTCCAGACTAAATATTTTAGACGCTCTAATACAATTTGAACCTGCCTGCAGAGTACATTGTAGTCCTGGTGAGCTATCAAGAAATCGTCTAAGTATACTAGTACTCTTATTCCCTCGAAATGTTGCATATTAGTTAAGAGGTTAAGATAATTTTCAGGAGCCGACGGAGTTGTAGGTTCCTTTAGTTTAATCTCGAAATTCATTTTAAATTGATTTTGACTGTCGCTTTAGGAGACGATTCCTGTTCATAACGAGATCTATCACTATTTACCATAATTGAAATTTCGTCATTATCGCGATACTGGTAAAAATTGTTTGTTTGTGCAATGCCACAGCCTTCAAACACTTTTTGGCGAAGATCGTTTAGATCCTTGGATAGTTTATATAATATATCGTCGTTATTTGAGCCATATTTGGCCCCCCCCTTTTTTTTTGTAAACGCGACGTCGACGACTACGTTTGTGATCAGACTCCGAGGAGGAAGACGAGGATGATGACGAGACAGATTTAGAGCGCGATTTATTTCGTCGGTTATTTGTATGAGTGCCTGACGGTCCAGACATCGTCTCGTCATTTTTCTCAGTGTTTGTGCCACCCAGTTTGTTGGGTTGCAAAAACGTTGGGAGCCGTGCTGAGACGAAACGGTAAACATGTCATTTCCATTAACTGCCCTTGGTGTATCAGTCTTAAAAACCTTCGGTGCGATCTGGCAATCGGCACGTTGAAGTAGGCTTGGGACAAATCCACTTTGCAGAGCCAGTCTCTTGTTTGTAGGAAATCTGGCACTCTACGAATATTTAGGCTTTGTTTTGACAAATTTGTTTAAGGCTTTTAAGCTTAGGTTCAGAATAGGTCGATCTCTGTCATCGGGCTTTGGTACCAAAAATATTGGTGAAACGAAGCTTGGTGAGGCTGGAACCTGCTTTAAAACCTTCTGAGATAACATCTGGGCAATGGCCGCTGATGTTGTCATTGATTCTAATGTAATCCGTTGATTTTCTGGCATTAAAAGTGGTGGTTTGGTTATGAAAGGAATTCGATAACCTTTTATAATAGAGATCAGGGGCACCTAACTGCTCCCATCGATCCACGTAATGTAGCAATTGGCCCGCTATGAATTGGTTGTCAGTAACGGCCCCGCTTACTTCCTTTCTTATGGTCGGAAGACACCGGTCTTTTCTTACCTGAAGTGAAAGCTTCGTGTCTAGTATTGCCTGGTTGACCGTCTCGTTGACGAAAGGAATTTCGAAAGTTCATCGAGGCACCCCCTGATCTCCTTTTAAAATCATGTCCCTGCGTGGAACGATAATAGTTAGAGCCCTGCGTAGGCCTAAAAGTATGAGACTGCGAATTACAGCCATACGCTGGCTCCGTGACACCCTTCGCGGGTGAGTTATTTATAGCCCCTCTGGGAGTGAAATGAGGCATTTTTCTTGTATCCGTTTGCACCACGGTTCGCGAACTACCTGAATACTTGTTCATGGGTAAGAAGGCTTTTCTAGTACCACCAGCTTTTTAAGCGCCGCAGTCAATTGTTCAGGATTAAAAATATATTTATTTGAGGGTGGTATTTTTCGTAAGGCACCCTTCAGTAAGGGTTTCCTTACATGCTTCAAAATGCCGTCCCTACGTAATTCAATCGATTCAGCTCGACGTCCACAGATTATTTGAAGTAAGTCCGATGATACTTTGTAGTATTCACCGTTTGAAAATATTTCAGTTACGTTAGCCAAGAACTGGTCTACTGAAATACTACCGGACTCTTGGGCCCAGTTAAGTTATTCTGACATTCGAGATTGAAGCGCGTCTCTTTGTTTGAGGACGGCGAAAGTTAAAGCACCATATGTCTGTCTACCTTAGATAAATTATGATATATATCAAACTGTTTTAATTCGTCATTTATTTCTAGGTCAGTGAAGCCCGGTGTACAAATGTAAGACTTTTGGCGGGCGTATCTAACGTCGCACCATGTGTGCGACGTTAGATACGCCGATAGATAATCCATGTGCATCCATCCTAATAGAAATAATTATTACTCTACTCACTACCCTTTAGGACATGATAAATATACATTAAGAAAATAATTCTTAATTTTATAAGCTTTTGCTTTAAAACGTTTGAATACGAACCCCTCAAGCAATAAAACCGTTTATAGGAAGGCTTTAGCGTAAAGTACTACTACTTCTATTCACTGCCACGTTGGCCGAACGGTAACACCGTTAAAATAATACTTTAGAATAAAATATCACTTGAAAAAAAAAAACTATAAGAACATAACATTTTGTAATTTTAACACGTGTAAAATATAAGGAATGAAAACTTACTGCTCGACGAAACAGCACACTTCACTTTTTAACACTTTTAATAACTAAGCACAAAAATTTCGGAGAGGTTGCTGGTTCTGAGGGGACAACCTCCTTCTGCGGAAATTTTCGTGAATTTTTAACTAATATGCCGCGTTTTAAACCGTTAAAGTGTTTTATTTAAGTGGTATGTACATGTTAATAAAATACATTTTTGAATTTTTTTAAATGTCAAAATACGAAACAAAATTTATCTATCTTTAATTTTTGACAAGCTTGGGGTTTACTTGATTATAGGTACATTAACATCTAAACAAAATGCGCTGTCGACTTATTTTGGCTTTGAGTATTCGCAATTCTACATGCTGAAATCGAAACGCGATTGAAATTCGCGGCTTTTTCACCTGTAAACGATGGTTTGTGACATGGGCGGAATTTCGATATCCTACTACCAATCTAATATCCAGATTGCCAGACGAAGACCAAAATATTTCAGAAAAAATATAAATTGATTAGAAAAATCTTGGACCTCGTCGGGATCGAACCCACGACCGCGATTATTAGCTATAAATTGCTACCATTACACCAACGAGCCTGTCAAATTTATTATATACTATTTTATGGTTTATTAATAGAAAACGTTTTATCATGAAAGTGTTATTTTGTCCGAGGTTTTAATTGTAATAAAACTTATGTATTGTCACAGTTTAGTAAAGGTAAACAAACTTAGTGAATACTAAAAATGCTTACCAAATAATATTCTAGTTATAGCGAGACTAGAAGAATCTTTCCGTGTATTTAAGTACTCTATAACATTCTTATAGGAAATATCTCGAAGTCCAAACGAGAATTGTTCGAAACATTTTTTATTTGCTCTGTCGTAAAGTTTCAATATGTGACACTTCAAAATGAATACTGTAATAGAAGATACAATTATGACTGTAGATATGGTTTTTCTTTATCATGAGCAAGCTATTAAGACATTATTAGGTATGTGGGTTAATAGGGAAGTAGAAAAACATACATTTCTTTCACGTATATTTTTGGGTTAGTCTTTAGTTTACGGTCTTCGTAGCTAAATGACTACACGTGTAGCCTAGCGTTGTGTTGAGCGCGAGAAGACCTGCGTTCGAATCCCGGAAAGGCAATAGACTGTTTCGGTTTGGTAGGGCTCAGAAGTCTGATTAACTACTTGCCTGTAAATAAAACCGATAAATGCGTTCGCTCCACAAGGGGAAATCACTATACTAAAAACGGGACAAAACAAACAAAATAAAAAACAATTTTACTTACAAAGTGCGGGAAAGTTCCTCATTTTCCACTGACTTCGATAGAGATTTACAAGGAACTGGGGCAAAATGTTTTAGTGCCACCTTAAGAGGTATCTGGAGAAAGTCTCTGTCATAAGAATTAGGCAAATGAAGAGATTGTTCTGTGAACATGCCAAATTAATTATGCATATATCCTTATACCTGAAGTAACGGTTTGCAAAATAGGTGCTACGAAAATTTTCTAAATCATAATTGACGCCGCTAGAGGCAGAGAACTGCAATGTTATGACTTGAGTTATTTATAGTCTATAAATGTTAATCTAAAAGAGCAAAGTAGAAAATTGTTGACATAATTTTTACACAAATAATTAATTATTACAAATTCATTTTTAAATTGTGTAAGGCTTTCACGGCCTCCTCGATTGCTCATTAATCGAGGAGTTAACATCTCCTGATGATGCAGTCCGCACGTGATGGCGAAACGTCGAGAACCCCTTTTCGCTCACCATGGCTGAACAGCCCGAAAGACAATGATACATTTTTTCACAATCAACGAGAAAAACAAAAACCGTATTCTATTAATGGTAACTCATAAATAAAAAGAGAAATAAACATGAGTTTCCGAGAAAAAATACAGTTTGCTTGCTCAAATAAGTTTATTCTAACAACTACAATCAATACAATTATCTAGACACATATTATTGTCAACCAACTTTATCATTGAATATTAATAATTGTGAGGGATGAATCCCCATAAGAGCCGCCATTTTGAGATAACACGGTTGGAAAAAATGGCGGATACGGGTACTTTGTATAGATACGAATTTGATAACCTAATATCCTCCGCAGAAGGGGAAATGGGGAATTGGGTGCAATGGTCGAGCTGTTGTAGATTTACTATTGTTTGAGTTTTTGTAGATTATCGATTTTAATGCCACTGTGGTGTTAGACAGGCGTTATCCAGCTTCGTATTTCGTTTTGTCTCTTCTAAGGACCTGGACAGAATCCATAAAGAACTAAATAGATTTTAAATAAAACATTAACACACTTTGTTGCGGAGAATTAGTGAAAAGTAAATTTGGTATAGAAATAGTTACTTTAGAAATCTATTGACAATGTACTGAAAGGAACTAAATTTGTCCAACCGCTTGAACTGCTACCTACATACTATCTATGTGTATTGTATATTAACCTTTCAAAATAAAAACAAGAACAGCGTGGACAATCTGTAAGTAGGGTTCGCAACTTTCAAAAGGGCCAACCTGAAAGGATTTTATGTTTGGGAAAAATATAAATCTCTTGAATCTAATTTCAGAATAATTATTGCTTAATTCACATGTTAATAATAAATTTTACATGAAATGTCAAACTTTGACTTTTATATGAGACCGAAGCATGTATTTCATTAATTCATTAATCACTACTCCAGGAGTTTGGTAGGTAGCTATCAAATCCAGAGTCTCCCTGGTAAGATGGAAGTGTTAAGAACCCTATCTGTAAGTTAGGTAAGTTCTACAATAATTTCCTTCTAATTTTTATGTAAGATGTTAGTACATGTGTAATACTTATGTTACTTCTAAGCCGTTCATGTTTGAAATTGTATGTGCGTGCTATATTTTTCGAAGTAAATCCAAAAGTTGATACGAAATATACATTAGTGCTAATAAAAACCTACGCCATTATAAATATTGTTTTATGGCATGGGCGCCGCCAGATTTACAATACTGGAAATAAATTAATATAGAAAAGATCATTCATATTACACACATATTATAAAGACAAAAATTTTCGTTATAAAGATTTTTTTTGTACAAAGATTAAATAATAATATCTCTCTTGACTGCCGACGCCCATGTTTTTGTCTTATATAATTTGTACTTTGAATTTGGCTTTCGAAGTGTAGATACAAAATAACATTTGATTTCATATACCGTAATACATCGCTTACTTATGTCGAATTTAAATAAAAAATAATCATAAACGAAACGTATATTAACATAACAATAATAAGGATAATAAACAAAAATTAATGGATCAATTTGACAATACGTGCTAATGACAAAAAATTACGCTCCACAACTTATAGATTACTGCTATTAAATATTTGAATTAGGAAGTTCTTAATACAAAGAAACGATAGAAAAAGATAGACATTAAATAAACAAGATACCAACTCTTAAGAAGTCTATATAATTAATGATAATTACTTGAACTTTTTTATTTTCCGTCGATGAAACAAATTAATCTGTACCTACAGATTATCTAAAATAAAAGTTTTTTTTTATTTTTGTGCGATTCAAACAAGAAAGTAACATCTTCGAACAGATGTGAACAAAAAACATTTTCTAAACAAATAAAAATTAAGCCCTTTTTAAGAGCTGTCAATTATAAATTAATTATTTGATAAAATCTTAGTGCGAAGATTACAAAGGTGAAAATGTCAACAACACTATAATTATGGTATTGTTAATATTAATGAAATAATTGATTACACTATTCCGCGATAATATTACAATGTAGGAAATATAATAATTGCAATTTCACTTTTTAGGAACTATCATTCAAACGAATAATACTTTATTACAAATTAATCTCATGTCTGCAACAAACTAAGTCACAGTATTTTGTACACTAGTTATTAATAACTGTTATAAAAAAACGCGATTTGCAGCTGATAATTATATATGAAAATACAAAATAATATCTACTTAAATACTGTCTATAGTTTACGCGAGTAGTACACATTTAAATAAAACGCTTTAACCACGGCTGCTGCAAAGCATCCGAAACGTCGGACCGAAGTTAAAAATCATTTTCAAATAAGTTTAACTAATATATCGCGTTTTAAACCGTTAAAGTGTTTTATTTAAATATCTACTTAAGTTATTACTATAGCAATCATTATACGGGCTACGAAAATATTTATATATTCTCAGTTTTTTGGAATATGCATACAATAGCAAATAGCTAATGCTTAAATCATTTTGAGATTTAAACTTTGTGGCTTCACATGAAGGCATGAGACGAAGACCGTCTAAGAAATGTTGTTCAATGTATAATTCTAAAAAAAGACATTTTTGAGCACAGTTTATGCTGAACAATTCATTTTTTTCTATAAAGGGAATCTTAACGACCAGTTTACTTTTAATACAAATAGAGAAGAGATACAGATATTTATCTATAACCGTGCCAGCATTATTAATTATTCTAATGAATATGGAAAGTATTAAATACAATTTATTTTTGTAACGCAATTCACAGTATAGTAATATTATAAGTCACGTATCCAGGCCATGATATCGCTATTTAAATTATATTTTTGATTAATATATCAAGGAAATGCTCAATTAAAAATTTATATAAGATAATAAATTTTAATTGAATAATGATATTCAAAATCATAACCATTGTGCTCACAAAACCTATAATATTGGAGTAACAATTAAATACTGTTTGCTAAATGGCAACACCAACAGTCTAAACTATAGAACATTACTTACATTAAATGTCAGTAATATAATTTATTATCTATGGAATAGATATTTGTTTTCTATTCAGTATCTCATATTTGGAATCATTTTTTGTGATTTCATACAAAAGTAGATTAATTTCTTTGAGTAAATTTGTAATTAATAGTAAGTAGTTTTAATTACTAAAAATTGCAACTAGTCACCCGCTAGACTCTCTAGAAGCTTTTTTAAACACACAGGTCGTTTTAATGAGCAGATAAAATAATTTGTTGTAGAAATGAATTCGAAAAAGAAATACTTTTATCGAGTTGATTATAAAAAAATAGTTGGTACTTTTAGTATCAATCAAAAATGCTTATAACCAGGCAATATTCATACTGTTTGCAATCTTGAGAATGACAAAAAAAATCATTATTGACATTAGTGCTTCTGTTAAGTGTGGTTTGTATATTGTACAAAATAATTTATTTTATCTACCTATCAAAATACATACATAATCAATACAATAACATTAAAAACGACTATGACAGGAGAGATCACAATTTCATATTGTGTAAAACATACTACAAGCGGAATGTTTATAAAATAAGCAACTACCCTCTCCGTTGAGATTACTCAATTGAAGGAAAATCATAATTTTATTAATAAATTTAGTCATTTTACTAAAAGCCTCAATTTTGAATGAACTCTAAACATATAGATGGAGTTGATCAAAATCAGCCAGGATAGATATCAGAATCGTAGATGCCAATGCGCATGTTGTTAAAGAGAGATTTTTTTCATCGAATATTAACCCATGATGGATGCTTTCAATGGTCGTGAACTACTCCTCCAGGGCCTGGCAGATAGGAATGACCTTGTAGAAAGACGTCAACGGCCCTCGCCGCTTGTCTTCCCTCAGATATCGCCCATACAACGAGCGACTGTCCGCGACGACAATCTAGAACACAGCAAAAGTTTTATGGAATCCTCAAGGTTTTTCCATACAGGGCAAAGAAATATTTGAAAAAGATTTTTTATAGATATAAATTAACTTGTTTTCACCGTTTTTGGGATGTAGCGAACAAAACTGTAATTTCTGCTCTTCCTGAATAGTTTATTACATACGTTTTTGTATCTATTTATATGTTTGTATATTTATACGTTTTTGTATAGCGTGGTCACGAGGTGCTGCAAAAACTAAGTGTTTGAATGATTAGTTTTTGCAGCCCCTCGTGCCTGCCGTCGGTTGCAAAAAACCATGCAAATTAAAAATTAGTTAATGATGGGGGATTCCCCATCATTAACAAATTTTTTTTTTTTTAACAGGTTCAAGAACCTGCGAATCGTTGATTACAAGTCATGCATCGATACTATTATAACGACGAGCCTGTTTGAGACTAATTAAAAAAAGTCTATTGTTATTTTTTTTATTTATATTTATTTAGTTACTACTTTACTTACCACCAGCCGCAAAGACGTTGTTTGCTGGTGTTTTGTAGATGTTGTCTTTCGCCGTCTCTACATTGCTTCGGGCGTCTAGCGGTAATTCTGAAATAACAATATGTTTGTCGTTTTTGTTAGTAAATTTATAATAAAAATAGGTTAAGTATTGTTTGTGGTTTACGCGAGTAATACATAATTATAAAAAAACTTTCAACTGTTTATCACGCGAAATATTAACTTATTTGCAGCACTTTCAAAACCGTTAAAAGTGGTAATTTAAAAAGAGAATAAAACTAGTATTCTATACTCATAGAAATGATTAGAAGAGTAAGTCTGTGTAAGTTACATCTCCTTTGTCCTAATATTTTGTCTTTATTTTTTCTAAAATCACTATTTAGGCAAACAAATAAATAATAATTGTTTACCTATATAGTGAATACATTTAAATACGTTAGGAGAAATAAGACGACGCAAAAACATCGATTATTGAATTTATCGACCATAAGTCGTAAATCGCATTTAAAAGTCACATGGTTAAAAGACTATCAAACAATTATTAAAATATAGGACAAAAATTTTTTGAAAATTAGGATTGGTGGTTTAAATATCAAAAAAAAATTTAAAAAAAATTGGGGGTTTGGGCCCCCCCCCCCCCCCCCCCCGGGGTTTTTCCCCCCCCCTGGGGCCCCCCCCCCCCCCCCCCCAAAAAAAAAAAAAAAAAAATTTTTTTTTTTGGGCCCCCTTTTTTCCCCAAATTTTTTTTTTTTTTCCCCCCCCCTTTTTTTTTCCGGGGGGGAAAAAAATTTTTTTTTTTGGGGGGGGGGGGAAAACCCCCCCCCCCCCCCCGGGGGGGGGGGGGGGGGGGGGGGGGGGGGGGGGGGGGGTTTTTTTTTTTTTTTTTTTTTTCTTCTTTTTGGGGGGGGGGGGGGGGCCCCTTTTTTTTTTCCCCCCCCCCCCCCCCCCCCCCCCCCGGCGGGGCGGTGTTTTTTTTTTTAAACACCCCCCCCCCCCCCCCCCCCCCCCCCCCCCCCCCCCCCCCCCCCCCCCCCCCCCCTTTTTTTTTTTCAACACACACATTTGGGGGGGGGTTCCCCCCCCCCCCCCCCTTTCCCCCCCCCCCCCCCCCCCCGGGGGGGGGGGGGAAAAAAAAAAAAATTTTTTTTTTTTTTTTTTAAAAAAAAAATCCCCCCCCCCCCCTCGCGAGCGTTCAGCGTGAGTGTCCCGTGCACCATAGCTCTATTATATCGCAGCGACTTGAAGGAATCTTGAATTTGGTTCTGCAAGACGAACGTGAACATTCGACGATAGATTTTCTGGCTCGCGATTGGGACGCGTACATTCTAACACTTTCCAGACGATCATTTTAGGAAGAAGACTCTCCAATACGACGGACTTTTGCTAATCTCGCTTGGGAAGCATTCTTAGATAGCTATCTTCTTCTAGGCAAATTGCTATGTAGGATATTTATTTTAAATCAGAGAAATTAAGAATAAACTAATAATAATACAAAAGAAAATGCGTAAGGAGCCCACCGATCCTCTATTGTCGAATTAGTTACTCGATGCTCCAACCGGCATGAATTTTTATTTTAATTTCGTGATATCTTTTGAATGGAATGTCCGATTTCAATAATTAAAAAAGTAATCATCAGGTATTGAGACAGTCTTGAATATTAAATTATTTATTTGGATAAAAAATTATAAACGGTATGGATAACCGGTCTGATCTTGATCGGCACTTCTATCAATTTGTTAAATGTAAAAAAGTAGTTATAGCGACGTAACTACAATAGTTAGACATATGCCCTCGCGATGTTATTGAACATCGAAATTGTCGACTTTTTTTGTCCTATCATTAATACTTTTCGCAGCGTATGCGAATAAACACATTTTACGGCTAATTTTTTTGAGCCTTCCGTTGGTTTTAGTAAGAATTTCTATAGATATATATAGTAATTGAGTACTAAATATAGCCTATGTTACTCAGTGATAATGTAGCTTTCTAATGAAAGAAGAATTATTAAAATAGTCCAGTACTTTTTGAGTTTATCCGTTACATACAAAAATACAAATCTTTCCTCTTTATAATATTAGTATAGATTACTAAAAATATGTTTCTAGCATACTTTATTACACAGACAAAGAACTAGAAAGAAGATGGTCATTCCCAAATACCAACTACAATGAAACAGATGGCGCTAGCGTAACATTTGACTTCGACATTGTTCGACACTGTTGCAAAGCATACGGAATGTCGTGCCGTAGTTAATTTTTTTTAAAGAAGTAAATAATATATTTCGCATTTGAAACTGTTAAAAGACTAAGTACTTACATGGCAATGTACATTGCACAAAATTGCAATAGTTGTGCATCCTTGTTATGGGCGTGTCTTTGCGCACGAGCTGCCAAGGGATTATTGCCTAACTCTGGTACACCACTTATTTTTTCGATTGTATTGTAGGCGACGTAATAAAAAATCTTAGTAGATCTAAATACATACCGAGCTGGTTAGCCACGTATCTCTCCGGGCCGAGGAAACCCATCGCGAGCAGCACGAGCTCTGCCTTGTATACTTTGTTTGTGCCAGGAATCTCCTTCATGTCCCAACGACCACCAGCCCCTCGGGTCCATTCGACCTCCACAGCAGATACGCCACAAACATTGCCTTCGCCTATTAAGAAAAAATAATCGTGTATTTAAAAGCTCCCTTGTTAAATTCGAATTTGTTAAGCTAGCTCTACTCACTTTTTACACTTTCCAGCTAGCTCAGGCCAAATAGGTCTAATGTGTCGCTTGCATTGCGTTAAGCGCGAGAGGTCCAAAGTTCATATCCCGAGGAATAAATAGTTTCGCTCGATCAGGTAATAGAGGTCTTGACAACCTAATAATGAATCCGATCAGTGAAACGGACACAGAAATGTGTTCGCCCCATACTCACGGGGAACGGCGTTTTATCTTCTTACACTTCAAAACTAACGACTAAATTGGAATGCATATCATTGTCTTTCGGGCTGAACGATGGCCGTGAAAGCCTGACACAATTTATTAAATTGGAATGCTTCTTGAAAACTTACAAAGATTCTCGAAATAAAATGTATAAGTAAAATTTAATTGTACAATCAGATTCATTTACTAATAAACATTTCAGGTTGTTCAGTACGAAAAATATATAAACATTGCTTAAAATTTAAGCTCGTGACGCATAAGAAAGAAAGTTAACGAGTGCCTAAAAATAAATGAATTTGTGAGAGTAAAATAAATTCTATAGAAATATAATTTACTTATTGGAATTTGCCCATTGAATATTTACTGTTCATGAGGAAAGTCACTTTTAATGGTAAAATTGACATTCCTCATTTAACGTTTGAAAATATTAATATTTTTCACATGTTATTGCACATGAAGGCACTATATAATTTAAAAATCGAAAATAAATTCCTCATTTAATTTAAGTTTTGCAAGTCTTCTTAGATTTTATGATTAACTAGCTGGGCCAGCGACTTCGTCCGCGAAGAATCGCGACGAATAATTTAATTGAACCGTTTTCGCAGTGTATGCAACGGAAACGCTCGAATAATTTTCCCGTTTTCTCCACATAAATAACTCTAACTAACACAAAAATATTTGTTTAATTTGAACCAGTAGTTCCTGAGGTTAGGGCGTTCAAACAAACAAACAAACTTTCATATGTGTCGGTTTCGGTAGCCAGGAGCTAGTTTTTAATGTTTATACTGCTTACCATCATCAAGGAACTCTTTAGTGAGGGTGGAAAACCTTCTCGGGTCGTTTCCGAACTTCACTTTCACCTCCTCGTGTCCGTAGTCCACCCTAAAGTAAATATTGTCCAGAATTTAAAAAAAGTTAAGATTTTATTATATTTAATTAACAACAATAATAAAACATACGCTTAAGATGATTCTCGACACTTTAGTATATAGTTTAAGCAAAAATGTTAGGTTGGTGTCTAGAATGTAATGGTCTCATTTCAACAGGATATGATTTCGATTCTTATTGGATGTTTCTAATCAATATTTTTTTAACATGTTTGCGTCGTCGGGAAATGTAGATATTGAATGGGTGGCCGGAATATAGACACAGATAAAAAACCATGAAGTTTAATAGCGTTTAGGTTTCAGCCAGCAGGATATCCAACCGAATAAACAACGTTAAAATAGGTCGACATCACATCAGTTCAGATGGCTGAGATACTTCACTTTACAATTTCTAATTTAGCTAATACGTTTCAGCACTAAGTCGTCCTTTTTTTTCTAATTGTACGTTTTCGTAAAGTTATGTAGCATGGCTGTGTAAGGAAATATTGATTAAAGACTAAATAATTATTTATTTAGTTGAAATCCGTGTTGCAAGGCTTTCCTTTGTGTTTATTAAATTTCGGTTTAAGTGCAAGGAGAGCAAAAAAATATAATTAAACCCGTAAATAAGAAGCTAAGCTTGATGTAATTATTGTATTTATAAATAACAATAATTGTGTATATTTATAATTACAATTTTACCAAAATTAAATTATTGTGCATGAACTTTGTCATTGAAATAAAATTAAAAAGAAATTGCATATAAACTTTTTGCTGTTTGTTTCATTTATAAATTTAGTTTCTAACAATGTAATTAGTGATTTGATAACAGCGGGTCAATAACTAATATGCTAGGAAGAAGAGTAATATTTAACATATATAATACAATATATAATACAATATTTTTATAATTGTGATATCTAGCTACCGAAAGATGTTCTATGGGAGAGTTAAAGGGGTATAAGAAATTGATTCTGTTTTGATGTGGTATTTAATTAAAATGGATACTGCAAAAATATGATTATTATTTTTAAATTATAGAGCACAGACAAGCATGGCATTCACTTAATGGGAAATGAAATAGCCCAGCCATATAACATGTACACAAGATGCGCTGTCGGCCTATTTTGGCTTTGGATATTCGGTTGTTTCATTTGTTCTATTGTAAGTTTTAGAAATCTATATTGGATTTCTAATTTACTATAGTTTTATGACCTGAAAATTTTTTGCCTTTCCATCAGGAGAGTAGATTAAGGGGTAAAAAAATCTTACTAAGCCCTTATACGAGATCCAGGTACCAGCAGTGGGAGCAATATATAAATAAAACACTTATTATTCTAACAACATCTCCCCGTGACCGCGGCTGCTGCAAAGCATCCGAAACGTCGCCATAGTGAAAATAATTTCTAAATAAGTTTAACTAATATAAATCGCGTTTTAAACCGTTAAAGTATCATATTTAATGTATACTACTCGCGTAATAGTAAGAAACAACATTTACCTAAAAACTCTCGGCCACTGTGGCCAGGGGTTGTCCTGTCCACGTGAATTCTTCGGCTCCGGTAGGATTTCGAAGGTCGTGATTGATTTCGCGCCTTGTCTCAGAGATGTCGCTATACAGTCGCACCTATATAAGAAGCGAAGACATTTTAAAATGGTGGGCTGTTTATTTTAATAAACTAAAGTCAGTTTAGTTTTTTATTTGTAAATTGACTTTCACTTTAACTTTGTTGTTCCTTTGTTTCTCTCCTATAAACAAAGGTCGCCTGGAAGAAATTGCCGAGAACTAACTTTTTATACAAATTAGATATTTACTAATGGTAACTAAACTAACAGGTAGGTTTTAAGAGTGGCTTTTGAGAACCAAATTCTCTATCAAAATCCAGTATATATACGTTGGTACGAAATCTTACCCAGTATCACCACCCCCAATGACTAGAACATTCTTGTCCTTAGCAGAGATATGTTGCGTGCTTTTCGCGTGATGCTGGGTAGGCCCAGCCTGCTTCTTCTGCCAGCCCTCGAGGAACTCCATCGCGAAGTGGATGCCGTTTAGTTGCCGGCCTTTGAGGGGCAGGTCGCGTGGCCATGTTGCACCCATGCAAAGGACCACAGCGTCGTATCTGCGATGGGTGTTTTTTTTAGATAATTTTGACAAAAAGCAATCACTGAACAAAATGAAAAAAAAAGTCTGAATTATGGGAATAGTGGTACTCTTTTTTTGACTAGCTTATGGTAGCACTGTATGGTTAATAATCAACGGGTCGTGAGTTCGGTCCCCACCATGTCAAACATGTTTCTAAGTAATATATTTTTTTTCTGATAATTTTGTTTTATATCAGGAAATCTGGGTATTAAATGGGTGATAGGAATATCACAATTCCGTCCGAGTAACGACTCACCGCCCACAGATGAAAAAACCCTGAAGTTTAATCGCGTTTCGACTTCAGTCTGTAGTTTCCCGAGTACCCAAAATCAAAATAGGTCCATAGCGCATCTTGTTTAGATGTTATATGGCTGGGGTATTTCTCCTAACATCAAGCGAACCTTATGCTAATCTGTCCGAACAAGCAAGCTCACATATATGTATTATAGATGTTGTCAGTAAACATGTTTCTCTAACATCAGTATACCGTTACTGTAACGCATAGTGACTTTACATACTCGTTAGCTAATTCAGCACCAGATATATCCTTTCCGACGTCCACGTTGCATTTGAAAGAGATTCCTTCGGCTGCCATCAATTTAATCCTCCTGGCTACGACCTCCTTGCTCAGCTTCATGCTGGGTATGCCGTACTGCAGCAGTCCACCCGGACGGTCGTTACGCTCGAAGACTGTTACTGTGTAGCCGGCCTATGGATAGAATATTTATTTTTGACGGAATTCTAAAAATTATACTTAGTTATAGCCTTATACGTAGTTTTTGCCTTAATAACAATGACACAATTAAAAAATTACACCATTTTAACTTTGCCTTTGTGCTTTGCGGTTATTTAAAACGCGACATAATGTATATAAGTTATAAGTTGCTGCAAAGCATCCGAAACGCCGAATCGTAGTTAAAATCAATAAAAAATATGTTTAATTGTAATATGTTACGTTTTTGTAAATCAAACACTTTAACGGTTTAAACGCGAAATGTAGTAGTTAAACTTATTTAACAACCTAACGTTTTGGATGGTTTGCCGCTACTTTAGTCACGGGGATGTTTTTCGTTTTAAACCGTTAAAAGCATTTTATTTAAAAATTATGTTCATGAAATTTCTTGAAACAGGATAAGAATTGAACCTCAACAACGAAAAACGAAATATATGTATAAAATAACATAATATATCCTTACCTTGTTTAGTTGGTGCGCACATGCTAAACCGGCCGGTCCAGAACCCACCACCGCTGCCGTTTTGCCGTTACGGTTTGTTGGAATCTGCGCAGCATGAAATATCCATCATAATATGATACAGAGTACATAAATGATATAAAAAAGTTCTTTCGTACATTGATTGATTTCATTTTACAGACAAATACAGGCTTTTGTACTCCGCCTGGCCGAGTCATCTTTTTGTTTAAGAACCCAGTACCTCTCGTGCTTAAAGCTAAATAGCTATCGCGTTAATTATTGCATTGAGATGCAAAGGCGTAAATATCTATACATAAAACTGATTTATAGAGATATAACTTACCTCTGGTTGTATCCAGCCGCTGTCAAAGGCGTGGTCGATGATGGCACATTCGATGTTCTTGATGGTCACTGGTGGTTCCGAAATACCAAGCACACAGGCGCCCTCGCACGGCGCGGGACAGACGCGTCCAGTGAATTCTGTAGATAAAATGTACTATGACGACCAAAGAGCTCGAAGACCTAAGAAGCTTTACAAGTGTCTGCAAGCCTTATAAAATTCGCATATATCTCTTATTAATTATAAAATAAAAAATAAGAAAAAAAAATGATCAGGAATCAGTCTTTAGTTTCGTAAAATTGCTTTATGTCTTTGTAGAGTTTTTAATAAGAACAAGTTCAATTTCTTTACCAGGGAAGTTATTCGTCTGTAATAGATGCGCAAGCGCTTGTTTCCAATCAGCTCTATATATAAGGTCGTTCCATTTTGGAATAATATTCCCGAGGGGACATCCGTGCTGACTTTGACAGAAGGGAACGCCACACTCCATACAGCGAGCAGCTTGGACGCGTAAGCCGCGACGCACATGGGCAAAATTGTATATCTCGTCCCAGTCCCGTAAGCGCTTTTCTGCGGGACGATACATCGATGTTTCACGTGGGTATTTGATGAAGCCCCTGCGAAGAATGATTTTTATTTACTTAAATTCGTACAACATTACATCAAGTTGATATATAACTAAGTATTGATAACTTAAGTACAATAACAGTACAAATAAATAATATACAACATATAACTGAATAAGTGTTAAATGATTTAAAGAAATACGTATATAAAAAAATGTGTTAAAATCTAAAAGTGTACAAAATGGCATGGTAAGAAAGAACTAAATAATTATGTAAACCTAATGTTAATTTATATGACACAACTAGGTAAATGGTTGTCTTTAAACTGCGCTTTGCTTGCTCCTGAATGAATCTATTTCCCTATCCGTGCGGCGAAACTTATTATACGATCGCAACATTCGAGTAAAAGGTGCCTGGATCCCCCATGTGTTAAATGTTTGTTAAAATATAACCTTTTTATAATTAAAAGAAGAGTCATAGCGCAGTTCTAGTATGAAAGAATTACTATTAGGTATGCCCATTCAAAAAAACTTATACTGAGGAAGTTTAAATAAAAATTAGATCCTCACCTCGTCTTATCCAGAATCTTCTCGAGATTTTTCTTATCCTTTTCAATGTCTCTAACAGCTTCCTCTATATCAACGAGACCGTTCTCCTCTAGTTTTCCATTAGCCTCCAGTTTCGGTGGAGACGGCTGTTTCAAAGCGAGTTGTTTCAGCGCCCTCTGGTATTCGTATGGGAATACTTTGACGAACTTATGGGCTGGTTCCGGCCATGTTTCTAGCAGTTCCTTGGCGATCAATGACCTAGAAAAACATAATATATACATTTGTACGAGTATGAACATTTAGAAGTTATGAAACAATCTGGACTAAAATGTAGTACATACAACTGTTAATGATTTTATTTTATGATAGTGTAAGATAGACAAGCTTTCAGTTGATAGGTGACCTATGATAGGTTTGGATTATAAGGTTGGTTTACTGAGCTTAAATTGTAAATTGACTCATTGAACATCCGATAATTTTATTTTATATAAGAAAAAACCCACTTTTGTTGAGTTTTCTGCTTAACTACATTTAAAAATTAGATCAAGAACCAAAGACTCAGATTAAAAAAAAAATAATTTAATACAAATTTATGATTTTATAAATACAAAATTAGTACTCACCCAGTATATTCGACGAATTCTTCCAGTAGTGTCTTTACGATATCAAGGTCATCTTGCTTTTCAAGTGGTAACAGTTCTACCATTTCTGGGTTACACTTGCCCTTGAAAGAGCCATCTACGTCGTTGACATATGCGACACCCCCTGTGAAAAAAAACAATTTAAAGCTCAGACTTTAGATTGGTGGCATATTATAGTAAATTGTGCTTCGAAAGTTAAACAGATCACAAAAATCAACAAATTTTGTCGCATAACAACACAAAAATAAGTTCACCTATTCTGACTATGAATATTCGAAAATACATAGGCTGAAACCGAAACGCGATAAAACTTTAAGGCTTTTTCATCTATGAGCTGTGGTAGCTCGGACGGAATCTATATATTCCTACCAACCATTCAATAACCAGATTTCCAGACGAAAACCAGCATGTTTCAGGAAATTATAAATTGCGTAGAAACATGTTAGGCCCGGTAGGGATCGAACCTTAAGTAAATATACCACTTAAAAATATACGTACCGCTCATGCCAGCTGCGAAGTTCCTTCCAGTCAGTCCTAAGACCAGTACGGTACCTCCAGTCATATACTCGCAGCCATGGTCACCCACCCCCTCCACTACGGCCACGCAGCCGGAGTTCCGGACACAGAACCGTTCAGACGCTATACCCCTGTAAATGAGAGGAATTTTGTCTTTTACTGTGACCACCTTTGTAGCTAAATGGTTAAAAGTCATGTCTAGCATTAAGTTAAGTGTGGGAGATCCCGGGTTCGAATGCCAGGGAAACAATAGATTGCTTAAGTCGGGCAGGGCAAAGTGAAACCGACACAGCAATGTGGTCGCCCCAAGTCCCACGGATGAAAGCGGGCTTTTGCTCTTGTGCTTTAGGTTAACAGTGAAATATTTTGGTAAAAAAAAATAGTAATGGTAGTTTACCTGAAGTACGCTCTTCCGGAAGTTGCACCGTACAGACAGACATTACCCACAATCACGTTCAAGTGGGACTCGAATGGAGAATTCTTTGGAGGGTAGATTATCACTGTCCCACCACAGAGTCCCTTACCTAAAGAAAATTAAAAATACAGTTAACAACGACCACTTAATATTAAAACTTATTTAACACCAGTACTGAAAATAATAAGGAGTATGAATTTACATCGACTTTTATTTAATTCATACAAGTGTCAGAACTTGTAACTTAAGCCTTGTATCACTCGGTTTCCTTTTTTATGACGGAGGAGGATAGAAAAGCATTTGTTTTAACTGATGGTGGTTAAAATATCCTAGCCATATAACATATTTTAGCTTTAGTTATTCAGAAATCCGCAGACTGACAAGCGTGATTAAATTTAATTACTTTTACATTTGTGGAGCGTGATCTCAATATTCCTTCTATTTAATATGCAGCTTTTCAGATGGAATTCGACGTGTTTCAGAAGAATTACAAATTGATTTAAAAAATCTTGGACTCGTCGGCGTTCGACCCATTGATAATGAGCCATACATTGCTTCTATTGCACCAAACGTGCACGTCAAAGTTCCTGATTCTCGTTTATGGAGGTTTTAAAACATGGCTTTAATGAGAGAAATTCAGTGTGTCTAGATAATAAGAGATCTACAAGTAACCAAAGATTTAAATTTAACAAAGACTTAAATTATATAATGGTAACTTACCGACGTAATCGTTCGAGTCTCCCTCTAGCGTGACAGTAACGCCCTTAGAGAGAAATGCGCAGAAACTCTGACCCGCAGAGCCAGTCAACGAAATGTTGACTGTAGTGCCATCTGGTAGACCGTGGTCACTGTATTTCCTGTTAATAATTTATATATGTCCATAATAAAATAGGATAACTAAGTATATAATACTTTATATACACTTCCTTACCGCAACAGAATCGTGTATAGACAGAGTAAGATCACAGAAAGCTGTGCATGCCCTCCCTTTCAAGTCCTGCCCGTGTCGTAATTTTTTAAAATCTTAAAACGATTTTTAATTTATGTAAAGGTTGTATAGTTGTATGTGGTGTGGTTGAATATGTTGTATCTATGTTTTTTCAGTTAATTCCACCCGCAATAAAATTTAATCAATTTATTAAAAGTGTGAAGTATTAATTAATTTATTTGTAACCGCAACCTGACGAATGCTTTAAGTGACTATGGGGGGGGGGGAGGAGGAGAGCACATTGTAATTTCTAGAAGGTTTAAGTGTGTCGTCGCTCTTTGTTTCTTTCACAAAATGCCTTTCTATTATCCTATACAAGTACACATTTAAAATGTTGTGCTACTTGCGTTTACGTAAAACTATTATCAATCTTGGTATAACAATCGTTGAATACCCAGAATTTCAGTAAAGTCAAGTCAAGTTTCTCACATTGCAATATGGTAGGAGAAAGTAGAAGTAAATGCTCGATCCTCATTCGTGATCTTCATGGAGATGTCTACGTGCTTCTGAGTGCCGTCCAAAATGCCAGCACACTGCTGAATTATCTGGTTATCCAGACGTTTTTCAAGCTGGAAGTCCTGGAAACCAAATAGCATAGCTTCTCATACCACTGTTAAATGTTTAATGCTTTAATTATAAAACATAATTCAAAGCTTGAACTCTGAGATTGGGTTGTTCGTAGAGGCAAAATTGAATTCTCTTAGTGTTTGTGATGTTTCTTAAATAAATTTGGTTTAAATAGGAGTTTTGGTAACCTCATTTGACGTCTAATACAATAACACAGGGAAAACTGCATTCACAGACATCAGAACCATACAAAAATTTTTTCTTTTAGGAATTCGGCTTATAAGAATTTAGAACTGAAAGCATTATATATTGCTTTTCTACGCCCGAATTACTGAAAGAAAAGGGCTTTTCTTACCAGCTTTACTTAATGTCTATTATGGCTTTGGCAATTCAGAAATGAACCTAAAACGGGGGTTAGCTTTAAAAGGCCTTTTCATTTTTGGCCAATATTATTTCCACTTTGTAGATAAAAGAAAGTTTAGAAAAATTATAAAATGATTTTGAGAATCATGTTGGCACTGATACTTGATACTTTTATCGTATTACTAACCTGTGACTTAGAACCACCAACAATATTGACACCAGGTCTCATGTGCAACGCGTTCTTCAGGATCAAACTGAGGTTGAGAGCCCTGGCCTTATGGTTGTCGTTATTTTCACGAACTTTGAGCAAATCGGTTCTTCCTATCAACTCTTGGAATCGACGTACACCAACAGCTGCCATATGTTCCCGGACCTGGAAGACCAGAAAGTACGTTTGTTTATACGTCTTATCGGAGCAACTGATACAAGTAAATTTTGCATAGAGACACAAGATGGAATTTCAATGATTTCTCTAGCTGCAAAATAAAGACTTTAAACCTCATTACGTAAGTGTTAAGGTTGAAATTACATTACGCAAGAGGTGCATGTATCAATAGGTAGAAAAATTCGACGATGACGTGTAGTGCTCGGTGCCTCAATTAGTTAGAGCGGCAGAAAGAATCGCTGTGCATGCAGGTTCAAGTCGTGCCCGTGTCATTTTTTTTATCTAATTAGATTTGAATTTTACATATATACAAAAACAATATAGTGAAATAGATACAATTACATCTTATCTATAACCTCGAGATCATAGGATTTAGTCTATGGTATTTCATACCTCTTCAGCCAACATGAAGAGGTAATTAATGACATGTTCCGGCTTTCCGGCGAACTTCTTCCTGAGCACGGGGTCCTGAGTTGCGATACCCACGGGGCAAGTGTTTAGATGGCATTTACGCATCATTGTGCAACCTGAAAACAAATAAGTAGTTAAGAATTTGAGTAAGCAATATACTTAAAATAGAAATCTTGAGAAACGACTCAAATTTTACAATTAAAACTTATCGATCAAACGTAATATGGGGGGGAGAAGTAAATACAAACTTTTAATTACTGAACTATTTAGAACTCGCTGTGTCAGCAGCAACTTCGTCCGCGTAGAATATTTATTTGGGCATGAATTTTATTTATTGCAAATTTGCTCTTGATCTTCAGTAGTTCCTACGATTAGCGCGTTTAAGGAAACTCTCGGCTTTATATAATATTAAAGATGGTTAAGATATAATTTCCCATTAATTAAATTTAATCAAATCAAATCAAAATCAAAAATCATTTATTCATGTAGGTAGCTTAGTACACTTATGAACGTCAAAACAGGTAAAAACTTAAAAGGACTCTAAATTTACAGTTACTACCAGTTCCCAAGTAAGGGCGTAGAACGAACGAGAAGAACTGGCAAGAAACTCGCCGCCACTCCTTTTAATTGCCAAGTTTTTATTACATTTCCTTATATTGTGTACATTTCTATAAGTACTTTATAAGTACTGTTCGCGTGGAAAAATACCACCGGAGTAAAACCAACAACTAATCAAATGCACTTTTACAAATTAAGTAAGTAATTTAAAGTTAAATTTGGTTTAGGATCTAAATCATTATAAGTTGATAACAACTATGATGAAAGAACTTACCAAGCGCAATAAGGGGAGCAGTACTGAAGCCAAACTCATCAGCACCAAGCAACGCGGCTACCATCACGTCGAAGCCGGTACGGATTTGTCCATCCGCTTGAACTACCACCCTTCAAAGAAACGTATTATGTGAAATTTTATATAATATAATGACTTATGGTATTAAATAGAAGATAATAAGTATAGTTCTGATTCAATTTTTTATTTAGTGTGATGTTTGTTTTTATCATTACATGTGACACATTTATTTTTTAGACTTAGGGCCGGCACATAACACAGTGAACACACAAATATATTGCAAACATTGTAAATTGCGACACTAGTTCACATTTAAGTAAAACAATATCTAAAACTTAACAGTTAAAATAAATAGTAAATAAGTTAATTGATTAATTTCGTGTTTTAAACCATTAAATGTGTTTTATTTAAAGAAATATTATATATTAAACAAGCACAAAATAATTAAAATTTTAACGGTTTAGAACGCGAAATATATATAGTTCATTTATATCTGTGTGTACATAATATGCGTTTATTTAAATAACTGGCGTACTTACCTGGACCTTAGGTCATTTAGCACGAGCACTTGATGCGTTTCCGCAATTCCCAGCTCCCATGGTAGCCCAGCACTCTTGATTCCAGTCCAGGAACTGGCGCCAGTACCACCATCGTGGCCAGAAATCACTATGTGCTCGGCTTTACCCTGGAATAAGACAGAAACGTAAAGAAAGATTCAGATTCGTTGTATTCTATTGCTGTTGTTTGTCTATAAGAAGTCTATCTTTGGCTTTAGGGGGAAAGTAAAAGAAAGATTCTGTGAAAAGAAATCATTACTATGCCGAAACGGTATTTTGTAGTTAGTAAAGCCTGTGATAGTCTATCAATCTTTAATTATATTTGAAAAACTGACGGTTTTAAAGCAAAATATATACTTACGTACTTTCCAGTGTCAAGAACAAAATTAAACTTTTATATTTCGAGCGAAAAATTACCTTAGCGACCCCTGAAGCAACAACACCCACTCCCACCTCAGACACAAGCTTAACAGATATACGGGCTCTAGGGTTGGCACATTTCAGGTCGTAAATAAGTTCAGCTAAGTCCTCTATCGAGTAGATGTCGTGGTGGGGTGGAGGTGAGATCAGCCCTACCCCAGCGACTGAACAACGTGTGCGTGCAATGTCCTCAGTTACTTTGTACCCTGAAAAGATTGTTAAGTTGAGAAATTATCAGTATTACCTTTTTTAAAAGTGAACATCTTGTTATAGGAAAATTAATAAAAAGACTTTCATTACAAATTAATAATTAACAAAGTAAAATGAAGTATGATGGGCTTGCGGGTGTAATGATAGCAATATATGGCTTATAATAAACGGATACTAAATGAGTGGTAGATCGGAATATGATATTTCCGAATATGGAAAGCCAAAATATTTCGACAGCGCTTCTTTAGATATTATGGCTCGGATATTTCATCTACCATCAAGTGACCCCATGATGTCTGTTCTCTATCATAAAAAAATCTATCATTTTTAATTAAGGTTACATTTAAGATTCTTAAACTGAATCAAGCCAAGCCTTGGATTTTCTTATCTATGATTATTTAATTATATTTGTGTTCAAAGTTAATATATTGGTGTCGACTTAGGTCTTACCTGGCAATTCTCCCCCCTCACCAGGCTTGGCCCCTTGCGCCATTTTAATCTGTAAATCATCTGCGTGAGCCAAGTAAGAAGCAGTTACACCGAATCGTCCTGACGCAACTTGCTTGATAGCTGAACGCCTGTTGAATTCTGGGTCCTATAATAAACACTTGGATTAAGTCTTGTTCATATATTTATAGAAATTTGAAAATATATATTTACCAAAAATATGTTCCTGTAATATAAAAAGTAGTCATTCAAGTAACAGATTTTTTACATCAATCTTTGATCAGGAAACCCTCTTTAGTAAATAATTCCAACTCTTCCATATCATGTAATAAAATTATTCCATATCTCAATCTATTTAACATGCAAGTTTGTTTAAATATTGGTGTTTGTGTGTATAAGTGTGTGTTGATGTGTATGTGTGTATTGAAGTGTATCGATGAGTCAGAGAGTGAATTGATATATTACTTCATAATTAATAAGTGTTATTCATATTTTAATGTGTTATACCATTAGATATTAATAGTAAAAGACTGTGCCTTTTGTTCTATAATATTAGAATAGCCAGTCTTGTTAGTGAAGTGGGTTTCTTTGCTTCTTTTTAATGAATTTATAGGCGCCACTCTTACCTGATTTAGATATCTATCGGCATTTTCACCACCTTCCCCAGTATTCGACTTTCCACCGATGCGGTTCATCGCTACAGCGAGAGTTGAGTGTGCTTCCAGAGAGATAGAACCGAAGGACATGGCGCCTGTGTTCACAAATGTTCAAATAGAAAAGGTTCTAAGAAAATTTCTTGTTAATTTAAGACTAGTTCCCATTATACGACCGCCTTTGTAGCCAAATGGTTGCCTAGCTAAGGTTAAGCGCGAGACGCCCTGGTTCCCAGGGGGAACAATACATCCTGACTATTAGCCTGTAAATCAAATCGATCAGTGGAACGAACACAGAAATGTGTTCGCTTCATGCCCCATGGGGGGAAATGGGATATTGCAACGAAGACTTAGGTAATTCAAAAGCTACTGCCTTACCGTGTGCTTGATCTGGCATACTATGACTCCAAAACATATCCATTATAACCAATGTACTATTGCCTATTTATCTGACTAAAAGAAATGAATACTGAATGAAGTCTAATTTTTCTTACCCGTAGCAAATCTCTTGACAATTTCCGAAGCAGTTTCCACTTCAGATATAGGGATTGGTTCATCTAGTTTCACGAGCTCCAACTGTCCTCTCAAAGTACAAGCACGCACCGATTCTAATGCGCTCTCTCTGTAATATGTTATACATATATGTAAAATCGAAACCACCTGGTTTAATTTTAGAAAAAGTAGACAATTCTGATTACGACAGCAGAACACAAGAAGCTACGAAAAATGGCCACAATTATATACAATTTAGTTAGTGCATATTTAAAAAAATTTTAGTTTCTGATCCAAGAAAAGTATAATTTTGAAGTCAAGTTTGTCGGGTCTCTTAGGTGTAGTGGTAGCAATGTAACTAATAATCAATAGGTCCTAAGTTCGGGCCCCAACGCGACCAATATGATTGCAAATGCATTTATAATTTTTCTGAAACATGTTGGACTGCGGCTGGAAATCTTGGATATTAAATGGGTACAAGAAATATCGAAATTCCGTCCGGGGCACGAACCAATGTCCAAAAGTGCAAAAGCTGTGTAAATTTTGGTTACAGTCGGTGGATTTATAAATATATAAGGCCACAAAAGATTGATATCTAATTTAGGTTTTATATTTCACCTTTCATCAAGTAAAACTATGCTTCTCTATCCTTTATCATAATTAAAAAGTAGCAAATCGTTAATGGTGGGAAAAGGTTGTACGTTCTTACTTGAAACGATCGTATCCAGACTGGCTCTTGTTGGTAGCAGCTTCTTGAAGATTTGCGATCGACATTGGATCGTTGATATGCTTCTCACCACCAGCACGCCAGTGGTAGTAGCCAGGGTTTCTGAAATAAGGAACGAGAGAAATGAAAATGAATACTGTCTGTAGTTTACGCGAGTAGTACACATTTAAATAAAACGCTGTAACAGCTTAAAAACGATACATAAATATAAAGTTATTTGAACATTATTTTAAACTTCGGCCTGACGTTTCGGATGCTTTAATTTATTTATAAAGATATAGAGTAGGCAAATATAAATAATATAATGCCATCCACACGGACGAAGTATGGTATTAAAGCAATGTAATTTTTTAAAGTTTCCTGATAGATTAATGTGACTTTCCATATTAGACAATTTTTCTATTTCTGTAGCCTTTATTATTACCGTAAGACGAGCACTTACAGTCCCATAGTAAGAGCGAGCATGTCCGTACAGTCGCCATATGTAAGAGCGTGTCTGTCGAATATCTCCTTTGATAGAATCTCGAAAGTGACTCCACCTATAAAGAAGAACACGTAATATAATATTACATTTTATCGCATGTCATGCAAATAAACCACTTTAAAACATATTTAAATTGGAACTACGACCTAAGTTGCTATTATTTTCAAAACACATTTCAATGTTGTTGCTAAAATCCCTATCCCAAATTTTCTTAAATGTATTTTTATAATTTACTGTCAATCATAACTTTTTACTGTCAATTATAACATAATTAACTTAGTTAAAGTGCTTTATTTAAATCATAATTTTTCATAATACAATATTAACTTTGATCTTAGTAGAATTAGTTTCTAACTATATTTGCATTATTTTTTTTGGTACATCATTTATAATTACTGTCTGATTACAAATGTGGCTTATTAAAATTAATAATGTATTTTTAATGGTTACAAGTGAAATTGTTAGTAACCTTCCACTCACCAATTCTAGACTGTGTCCCTCTAAAGCACTTATCCACCACTTCCTCGCTCATCCCAACAGCTTCGAAGATCTGCGCACTCTTGTACGACTGGAGCGTGCTTATACCCATCTTAGCCATGACTTTAGCCAAGCCGGTCTCAATGGCCTTCTGGTACGCAGTGTATATGTCCAAGTCTGTCAGTGTCGGGTCTATTATGTTGTCGTTTCGCAGTGAAAACGCCAGTTCAAAGGCTAAGTATGGACATATGGCGTCAGCGCCGTAACCTAGAAGGGAAATTATACGATATAATATTTTATTAGCATAGTATTATGGGTTTTAGGTTAATTTAAAAATGTACATGATAAAGATTAAACAAAACACGTTTGACAGTTTAACAGTAAAATACATTAATTATTACAACAATATTGATCGAGTAGTTGCTAAAAAAGCATCCGAGATATAATAGCCGATTTTAAATAAATAGATCGCTTTTAAGCCGTTCAATATGTTTTATTTAGGGGACCTTATTTTTCCCAAGGTTCAAGATTTTCCTTGGTAACTTAACAACTATTGTTCTTATGGTTATATAAATGTACCGGACAGATTTTTTTCAGGAAATCCTGAAAAAATTCTGAATGAAAAATAAATAAATATAAAAAGTAATATTTAAAGTTACTTACCAAGTAAGACGCACATGTGGTGCACTTCTCTTGCTTCAGCCGTTTCCACAATGATTCCCACTTTCATACGCTGTCGGGTTTCGATCAAATGGTGATGTACAGCACCTACAATACAGGAGTTGCTTTATATTATCCCACAGAGTATATAGGTGTATCTATATCATCAATTATTTTAATGATGGACGCCCAGGATGGATTGGTCAACCGCACTTTGCAACGCAATATTGTAGTGCAACGTAATTTCGACTTTAACACATTGTATAAAAGGTTCTTAATTTAATATTAATATCTAGTAAAAAACAAGTGTTGACTATTAATTTTTAAGACTTTTGTGGCGTTCCCAGAAACATATGCTAACCGAGAGAGAGAAGCGAGCTAACTGGAACTCTGGTTGGTCCAGCAGATCGTTCTGATAGCACTATCAGCTGGTAAGCCAGCCACTGCTGCAGTGTGGGCCTCCTTGGCGATTGTGGTTAACGCGTCTTCTAATCCAAGCGGTCCATCCGTGTATTCGAATGTGCAGTCTATTACTTTAGTCTGGAAAGTTGATTTTGATTAAAAATAAGAATACGTCAGTACAGCGTAAGGGTGCACACAACCATGTAAGTTAGACAACCATGGGGGGGGTTCATTTGGCGTTAAGTGAAAATTTAACCATACAATATACTTAAACAAAATGCGCTGTCGTCCTGTCGTAGACACTTGAGACCCGAACGGAATATCGATACTTTCATCCTACCATCCATTTATTATCGAGATTTCAGACGACATGTTTCGGAAAAAGTCTAATTATTTTTTTTCAATACATTGGAAATAAAATTCAATTAGACAATTATTTACCTTCCATCCCCGAAAGTTACTCTTTTTCAGAGCTTCGCAGTCGGGTATAGAAAGAATTGGCTGAGGCAGAAACAGTCGGTGTACGAAATCAGCGCTTGGCTCCAGAATGTTTGCCGTCGGACCAATCGGACACATGAGGGACATCACTATTTTCTCTCTGAAAAAAAAAACAGCAGTTGTCAATAACCAATGACATTTTGTCAAACGTCAAAATCACTATATCGACCGAACTCAAGTCACATGTCCATTATAGGTGCTAAACAAACTATCCAATCTATTTGGTAACTGTAATAGATGGCAGCACTGCGACTAATATATTTCTGACTAAAACACGAAGCACAATGTATGACAACTAGTAAAAAATATTGATGAACGAAACGGACTTATAAATATGTAATTATGAGGACATCGTTTTCACTGGATGTGAGGTGCTCCGCCTTGTAAATAGGCTGCGATAGAAAGATATTTTTGCTATAATTATTAATTTACCTGAATGGGTCAATGGGTGGATTGGTGACTTGTGCGAACAGCTGCTTGAAATATTCATACGGCAAAGGTTGGAACTGTGATAGGCAAGCTAAAGGAGCGTCGTTTCCCATACTGCCTAAAGCTTCTTTCCTGAAAATGAATGTTGTTCATTTAACCGCCACTTTCTTTTCTCTCCCCTTGACCATCATGACATAGGATAGGAATACAAATATTAAGCTAAAAATAGGAATTACAGTAATTAAGAAAATAAGGTTCGAATTTTAAACTGTTGAATTTAATGTGTGTCGTTCCCGTAACAACATAAAGTATTTTTTAAGTTTATGCTAAATATTAAAAAAAAAATTACTTCATTTTACGATGTGAACACAGTTTTGTATTATTTCTTCTTATATATTTTTGTTAACATTAATTTGTTTTTTTTGCTAATCTGGGATATGTTATCATTTTAAAAATCAATACTTTAGAACTTTATTATGTTTTACTTGTTATTGCACATCGATGATACATAAGGCCAAGACTTGAACCGGCATTCTAAATAGATTTTAATGTATACAAATAAATACTTACTTATTCTGTATCATTGGTAGCAGCAACATATTGATAGACTCAATAGTGTAGCCGAAGAGTCCAAGACGTTTATCAGACAGTCCTGATATCGGTTCATGGAGCGAGCCATTCAAGGATCCATTTTGTTGTGGAATCGACTTGTGGATATCTTCTAAAGTTATCTGTAAAGCAATTCAATTATTAATTTTTATATATTAAAGTAGCAAGAAGTCCCTGTGTAGATTGACTTTTTGTGTATATCGTCACGAATATAATAGATAGCAGCGCTGCGATTATAGATGGCACTGATCGCAATATAAAAAAATCGATATATTATTATATATAAGTACGATAATTTCGTAGTGCCTAAAACTCACCATCTATTCCAAATTATTTGATTGCGTGAAATATAAAACGGAAATGTACTTTTTCTATATCATATAAGGATATCAAAAATATAAAAGTTACTACCAATCTGAATAGTTAAGTAGTTAAATTAAATCTGTGAAAAGCACCGAATTAAAATCCAATTATGTTAGCATTGTTTTTCGAGCTGTTTGGCCGACGTGAGCAAGAAGAGGTTCTTCTTACACAATTTACCATTTATGTTCCTTTTAACTTTTCATAAATAAATCACTTTTTAATCCCTTATATTTTTTGTATATAACCCTGTAAATTAGAGAAAGTACCTTCTCTTGCAGCCACTGTGAATGTGGTCGACTGCGAGCAATTTCCATTTTGAGTTCCACATCTTGAATGATCCTCTTATCTTCTGTGTCCACTAACAACATACGGCCAGGCTTCAGACGGCTCTATAAATAATAACAGTCGTTTTTTAAACGTCCTAGTTAGCAGTAAATAGATTCATCTATGAATTTATTAATAAAATTAAACACTAAGGGCAAAAGCTTAGAATCCTGAGGCATAATTGTTAGAGATGGACATGACAAAGAGGCTTGTAAATAATATTGATCAGAGTAGCAGCCACAGATATGGGTCTGTTCCATACCTCACAAAGGAGAGACGGCATATGACTTCTCGCTCTACTATAAGTATAGCTCTAATAAAAAAACGTTTAATGATTTAAAATGCGAAATATATTAGGTAATTTATTTACAATTTATCGAATACTGAAAACTTATTAAACTATTACTATAAATATATTTCGCGTTATAAACCGTTGTAAACTACGACATGGATTGTGGTAATACAAATACTTTGTTAGAAATGAAGTGAAGACTTCTTATTTAGTGGGTTTTTCTTACCGAGCCACAGAAGCTACTAAAAGAAACAAAAATACCTTGAGTATAACTTTCTCAGGATCAACATCGTAAACACCGACTTCGGATGCCATTACTAGAACGTTCTCATTGGTAACGTAGAAACGTGACGGACGCAGTCCGTTACGGTCCAAGATGGCGCCTGAAACAATATAATAATAAATATAATAAAATATGGAATAACTGCACTATACCAACTCTGATATAGTTACTAATTTAATTTTCTTATTTAATCTGTTTTATCGACGTTCTTAAAATCAACGTTCTTATCTTCGGTACAGTAGACTCGGGTCCACGGTCCAAAAGTTTTTGCACTACTGACTAAATTTTATATTTACAAATAAAGTTAAATTATGATTTACTTTATATAGATCATTGATTTTAATATTACAAAAAATAAAATATCATAATTTCACAAGATAAAAACATACGAAAAAATACGCACCGATGTATCTTCCATCAGTGAAGGAGATCAGAGCTGGTCCATCCCACGGCTCCATCGCGCAGGAAGCCCACATATAGTAGTCCCTTTTCTCCTTCACCATAGTCTGGTCATTATGCCACGCTTCAGGCACCATCGTCATCACAGCTTCTGGTAATGTGCGATTTCCGCAGTGGAGGAGGAACTCCAGGACACAATCAGCTGATCCGGAGTCAGATAGATTCGGTTCTACTACTGGGTAGAGCTTCTTCAAATCTGAAAAGATTATTTTTGTTTATTTATAATAGAATTTAAAAAATAAGGTTAACTGGGTTATTTTCCAAGGATTCAATTATCTTCTAGCGATAGAAACAATATTAAGAAGTTGTTACATGTTGATTGGTTCAACTGCTAAGGTTTTATTTTTAATTGAATTTTGTAAGAACACCCACTATCCATAGTGTCCCTGGATAAACATGGACATCAATGAATATTTAAGAATGTATTAGTACAAATCAAATGTCTATAGGTACTGATTCCCAATCTCTCAAGAAATGGATACATACCATCGCCAAAGCTGTTACTCTTCATGACACCTTCGCGGGCCTTCATCAGGTTCACGTTACCTCGCAACGTATTTATCTCTCCATTGTGCGCGAGGACTCTACAAAATTAGAAATCAAGGTGTATTTAGGAAAGTATTTTTATTTATAAATACTTGGAAACGAGGTAGATTGATAGAAACCATGCAATTACTAAGATTACATGAAAAAATTAAAGCCCTCATTCTGAATAACATCTCAAAAACCAATTTTCATATAACTTGCTGTGTTTTCTTTACAAATAATATTAGTAAATAAACCTCAAAGGATGCGCTCTCTCCCAACTGGGGAAGGTGTTCGTAGAGAACCTGGTGTGAACCAGCGCCAAATATGTTGTGAAGGCTGGGTTGCACAGATCCTTGAAGTACTCCTAGAAATTGCAAATGTATTTGTTTATAATACTATAATCTTTGTTATCCATTACTGTATTATTGGTAGAAAGAATAATCCTAGTAAAAATTATTTAATAGAAATAGGTCAAACTACTTAAAAGGGACAAGTTTGAACCATCACCTAAGTATACTTTCAAAGGGCAAACATTTTTTGAAGCATGCGAGACCCTAAAACAGTCTCAAAAGTCCTTGACAAATATCATCTATATATACTTATCATATATAAATGACTTAACGTAATGGGACCCACTTACCCATAGCTGGTTGGATGTAAGCAACCCCTTATACACAACGGTCTTCAGCGAGAGACTGCAGATATAGAATCGAGCACCAGGCACGACCAGCTCGTGCGTCGCGCGCTTCCGCAGCACGAAAATCTGCGAACATGACAACACTATCCACAAGCCGAACACACCGCGCACGCTAAACGGGCAATGGTAAAGGGTGTTTAAAATTACGTTTGCAACGGCGGGTCCAGCCTGGCGCAGCCGCCGGCGCGTCACTCAAACGATCTGAAAGAAATCCCTCGAGAGTTCCTTTGCACCTTATTACGACGAGATAGAGTTTGAAATTGCACAGCGCGTTGCAAGTTCATACTCGGGTTGCGGTGGAACCGGCACCGATAGTTCTTACCTGACGGGAGAGGTGTAGCTCGTCGTCAAAATCGCCAGTGACAAACACTTGGCGCATATAGGGCTCCGAGTTACGGGCCACTTGACCTGAAAGCCAGTTACAATCCGCCATTACTACTACTCTTCGAGAGCCATTCCTACTACCTACTTAGTTGTCGAGTTTATGTCTTACATATTATTATTAGTGATCAAGATCTATTGATACTAGGTATGCACTCGATTTGGTTTCCGATTGCCTAATATAAGTAAATACGATTATATACGACAACAAAAGGTCAATGAATTATATTGCACGAGGAAAACCAATACCTATAAACAATCGGATTAAATAAATAAAAAGATGCAAACCCAGTATTGTAATGGGAGAACAAACAATATAAATCAGGCTACATTTCAAATTATTTCTATTTAGAAGAATTACACAATAAGATATTATTTACGGTAAAATGAATTTAATATGATAAGTGATACTATGAGTAACAAACTCACACAGTTCTCACTGCTATTTCGAATGTATTCATACATATGAATTATTTATTAAAAAAACAAAATTAACTCAAGTAGTTTTATATTTTAATATACTTCTCAAGTCGATGGAAGATTTAAAAAAGAATGAGAACCGAGTGAGTTTAGCTTCAACAGTAGCACATACAGTGTTAAATTGAACAAACCGTTTGGTCAAGCATCGCATGACCGCCTCGGCCGCTTAAATACGACCCAATCGATTACTACGTGTACGACCTGTAATGAGTAGCGAAACAATATCGCAACTGCCCGTATATGGAAGCGAGTCAATGTGATGGTACGATCGACTGATCGATAATCATTTGTTACAAATGAGTTTTCGTAGTAGGGACCTTCGTTATTATAAGCAAAATTCAAGAATGTCTTAATTTTAAATGACTTTGACGATGAATAATGAAGAAATCCCTTTTACGAATTATAATAAATGAAATATTCATTAGTTTAACATGTAATGTATTATCAAAAACTCTCTTTGCATCTATGAAAATAATTACTGAATAGCAAAATAAAATTGGCATTGACATTAAAACATATCCTGATCGTACTATTTTCAATGAGATTAAATAAGGGTAGTGAAACTTACCGATGGTAGAGTTATTAGTCGGCACAGTTCTCCAGCAAAGGACTCTTAGGCCAAGACCTTCGGCCAGTTCTTTAAACTTGGCTTCGATGTCCTGGTGGTGAAGCTTGTCCAAAAAGAAGATGCCAGTGGCATATTTGCCAAAAGGCGGTAGGTCAATTTGATGGGAATCTCTGTAAAGATAACAATTATTTTATATATAACATAAATAATATAACATACATTTCATTTGATAAAAATATATATTTAAATAAAACACTTTAACGGTTTAAAACTTTATTTTAACTACTGCCCGACTTTTCGTAACTTTGCGTGACTACAGCTGCGGCAAAGCAATCCGTCGGGCCGTAGTTAAAAGAAGTTTAACTAATATGTATCGAGTTTTAAACCGTACAGACAGTATTTAAAGGCCCGATTGACAGTAGAGGCCCGAATTTAGAAGAATATTAATGTAAATTCGGAGACCTCGTTAGTTTTTTCATAAATTTTAACTTTTACATTTACGGCAACCCATAAGATAGTGTAATCTCGGTTTTATCAATGGTAATGACCGAAGCACGCGAGAAATGAAACCTTAGTAGGGCAACAGTGTTTACATAAAACGTAATAAAATTGGTTTGCCTTGTGACAATGTAAATCATATTTGAACCTGTTATTATACTTATAAAGTTTCTCTTGTTATTAATAAATGAAAAAAAAAGCCCGATGAATAACTTGCATTTACAAAAAAAAAGAGACTCTAGTATTTTGTACGAACAAATAAAAAAAAACCTTTTTTTGTTCATAATAATTGAAAGAGGAAAGGTTGAATGTAAAATAGATCGACAGCACATCTTGTAAAGCTGATGCTTTAAGGTTGGAGTATTTTACTCTCTCTTTTTTCACTGAATCATTGTAAAAGGTTGAGCGTCTGCAAAGCATCCGAAACGTCGGGCCACAGTTACAATTAAAAGTAAATAAGTTAAGTAATACATCTTGGGGTTGTGATTTTTTCCGGCTAAATTCTGTACCATTTGTTCTCAAGTGACACATAATAAGAGCGTTAAAAATTTTAAATCGTCTTTTAATTATTTCAGTACGTAATTAAAGACGTAAGCAAATATATAAGACATTTTAAATATATAACGATCAATATTTCCCGACTCAGTCAGGAGCACAAAGGTCAGAGGAGACTGCGCGCGCAACTGTGACGTCACTGAAGCTGCGCTATTGACTATCTTGGGGGCTATTCTCAAATAATATGATATGTAATTCAATTTAAAAAAAAAAATCTATGTAAATAGTCTACTATTCGAATCACGTCGAAGTTTGTTACTAGATTCATACAAATCGAACTTATGTTGGCGTTAGTATTATATCGTTTAGTTTAGAATTACACCCCCCCATATATTATCTCGCAAGTTAGTACATACACAGGAAATGTGTAGATGCTGAGAAAGATTTACAGAGTATAAGTATTTCAATTCTTTGAGGTCATTTAAGGTGATTATTTTTCTTTTTTATGTATTAATGTTATTGCAAATTTGTGCAGACACACTATTTTTAGTAAAAAGTCTATTTGAAAATTTATTAAAAGACTACAGTTTTAGTTTGGAGCCTAAAACCTGCTTCGATTCTCGTGTTGCAAACGTGGACCGATGATGACAAATAACCCGATATGACGATAAACGAAGACAAATGTAGCCCTAGACTATATCGGTCTCAACGTTTATTATTAGGTTTGCTCTACATTTTAATAAGATTAGCATGACAGTTATGAAGATGGAGCTATTGAAAGACTGTCTAGACATCGGATTAAGTTTGAACTTGGCTGAAGAATGAATTTGAGCGACAATTCTATAGCAAGCCTATAAGCAGAGTAGATATATAGTAAGCTACGAACATTCTCTACTAAAGTTAAGTGGATATCGAAATTTCGTACAAATAATGAATCACCATCTATGTATGATAAAGCCATGAAGTTCAACCGCGTTTCGGTGTCAGTCTGTGGATTTCAAAATATACAAAGCCAGAATAGGCTGCAACGCAACGCATTTTGTTAAGGTATTATAAATGTGGCTTGGGTATTTCATCTTATATTTAGTGACCACCTTGTCTATCCTCACTTATCAAAAAAGAAACAAGACATTAAGATGTTCAATTCAATTACAATTAAATACATTGATGATAACCTCTTATTAATTTTTAATCGTCTAAAAAAATTGCTGATATTAATTTTAAAGAGCACTAAGAACAAAACTTTCAAACTTCTTGTAATCATAAACTATATATTACAATAGTGTTCGTTCAATCTTGGAAAGCGTAACACTCGATGACGTCATCCACTCGTAAAAGCGAAACGTCGACAACCATTTCTCAATTACGACGGTCGAACAGCTCGAAACTTCTCGAACCTATGTGAACGGAAATATTGTTTCAATAATTCGCAGATTTAAGATCTAAGGTGTATTACAGAGTGTTGACCTTAACGATACGTCGGACGTCACTAAAAATAGCTTGTCACACCACTGTGCTTTTATCGCTATATTCAATGAATAGCAACAATAACCATTTGTCGTCTTCGTAGAATTGTTATCGAAGGATTGCTAAGAAATCAGACAACAGTTGTGTTGGATAAACAAATGGAACGTAAGCAAGATAAAACTAAAATCCTGTTCGCCTGAGGACATGGTAATTTGAGATTATTATTTAGTTACGAGCCCCGCCTGATTTTTTGTAATAATCTGTATTTGTATTACACGGGTGGGCATTTAATTAAAACAAACACAAAGGAACTATATTTCTAATTCTGATTTTAATTGAGTGGAAAATGTAAACTACGTCAATGATTCCTACGTTTTTGGTATGATATGAAAAATTACATAAAAACACTGATTGGCATTCAAAAAACTACTGAAAGATCACCATCTGGTGACATTCTTGTGAAAATGTGAAGTTAGAACAGTAGCAGCAAGTGCACAACGTGCGTTGTTTGGTGATAACGCCGACCTTTGTTTACATTTAGTAGAAATATGTGAAAAAGTTTATAAGTTTAAATAAAACACTTTACGGTTTAAACGGTATGTAACTTTTTAAACCGTCAAAGTGTTTTATTTAAATATGTACTACTCGCGTAAACTATAGATAGTATTTAAGTAGTTAGTTTTAACTACAAAGCAACCGAAACGTTGGGGTTGAAAAAGCATTAAAATATATTTATTGCATTTGGACTCTGTAAAATTCTTTACAGTACTTTATTAATGCTGTCTACAATGCGTGTTTCTTTCTTATACTGTTGTTCATTCGTTACAGACGAACAAAGTAAGTAGTTATGTTGCAATTTTTTTATGTCACTCCATGCACCCATAAATCAAGAGATAAGGATTTTACATCCTCTCAAAGCGACAGCATGTCACGTTCTAGAAATGATAGTGCAGATGCAATGTAGTGTTGCCAAAATTAATAATTTCAAGATTATTATGATTAGTGATACCATATATTATGATTAATGAAGGTATGTAGAATATGTTCGTCTCTATTTTGGATTTATGTCGCACAATAACAAAAATTACTGGGATGCGTTTCGGAATTTTCTCACTGCTCACTGTTCAGAACAAAAGGTAGTTTTGCCTTGTCTTTTGTACTTGTGAATAGTTGAATACACATTTGTGTGAGTTTCATTAGATCACTATGCTCACGGGCAAATATAAAAGGTTTTTATGTCCTTCCCGATCGAAAAAACTTAATTATGTTTCCAGAGAAATAGAACTAAAAAATATCCATCGTCTCTTGTATCTCGTTATTAAGTAATATTTTCGCATTTTCTATATCCAAACTAATACAGAGAAGTAATAATAAGTTGAAGAGTTTGTTTGAACAAGCTAATCTCAGGAAGTACAAGGTTCAAACTGAAACATTGTGTTGGTTGGAGCATTTATCGAGGAAGCCTTTGAAGCCTTTGGACTATAAAACAACAAGGGACAACCAATAATAAAGAATAAAGGACAAGTTTCCGTTGGGTGCGATGTGAAAACGGGGTTTAAGTTATCAAAAAAAAAAAAAATTTCCAACTGTAAAGATCTTTTAATATTGACTCACAAAAACATCGGGACGACATCGTGGATAACCGCTATATTTTTTAAAGCTAAGGAGGTTGTTTGCATAAGACATATATTAATTCTATCATAAGATCACACCACGAATTGCCGGCGCGCAGCACGTGGCAAACATAATGTTTACTAGTATTAGTGCACTGGTATGCTTTGGACGATTGCCAATGCGGCAGTTTATATTCGGATATTTACAATTGTTTCTGTCGGCCGCTGAACTTAGAGATTAATTTCAGGAAGACTAACAATTTTATAAGCTGTGACAATTTTTAGGAGTTTCTGGCCGCGTACAATAGCTGGTTGATATTAAAAATAATATTTAAATACAAATGTGGTACGAATTTGCCACAGACGACATATTGATTGCCACTGGGCTACTATACCATTATCGATAATAGCTCGAGCGGTACTCGAACACACTACCGCAGCGTTCCGTGTTTTTGGTTCTACCAACTGAGCTATCGTGTGCCGCTGGTCCTAATACGTTAAATCCAATTATCTATACTAATATATAAAGCTGAAAAGTTTGTTTGAACGGGCTAATCTCAGCAACTAGTGGTTCGAATTGAAAAAATATTTTTTTGTTGGTTAGAACATTTATTGACAGGCTATAAAATATTTCACTGTGACTTAAAGGAGGGAAATGTAGAAAAAACGGGAGCAATTATTCATTCTTGTGGGGTTCTGGGCGTACGCTGGGTGGTACAAGATACCCAAAAAATAGGTTTAAAAGAATAGTTCTTCATTAAATGATCTAAAAAAAGTCCACGACAGTAACTTGCAAGAACGACGGGACGCGGACGACGTCGTGCTTAACAGCTTAAATTTATAGAGCTGTACAGGAGGTTTGCAAAAACAAAAATTAATACCCAAAATAACTATTCTACGCGTACGTAGTCGCTGACTCAGCTAGTCATGAATAAATATCGCCTCTTGCGCAATAAATATGTGCTTGCTTGTTTTTTGTTTTAACTTTTATATACTTATATAATATGAATAAAAATAATAGGTGTAAGTTAGTGTGTACAAAAATACACTTTTAAACATTACATGCAAAATTTATTACGTATAGCGTTTAACACCCT